GCAGCGGGTTGCGCATACGACTGCGGGGCCCAGGGCGTGTCAGTCAGTGTGTCTGTGTGAGTGTGGTGCCGCTGTGGGAGTGAGGGCAATGCAGCTCGGCAATGCCTGCAGGCGGATGAGTGACTGACCGACAATGGCAATTGGAGTTTCCTGCCGCATCTCCCTACGTCTCCCCCGCCCCCCCCCCACCCCTTTGTCACAGTTTTTTTCGCTCGCGGCCTTTTTCCCGGCGCGCGGGGAAGCCGCGCCGCAGTGAGGCTGGTCGCGGTGTCTGTGTGCGTCGCCCGCGCCGAGTCGACCGACACCGCGGCGGCGAGCGGGTGGAGGGGAGGGGAGGGCAGGGGCAGGGCGACGACAGGTCGACGCGCACGTTTCAAAGTTTGCGTTGGCTCGAGCCGAAGATTGCCCTGGCCTGGCCCCGCCGTGTGGAGCCAAAGGGCGTCGTAACCCTCCACTCCCCCTCCGAGGCGCCAGCGCCGCCAGCAGTGCCAGCCAAGCCACCCCTAGTCCCCTACACTGTAGGTGCACCGGCCCCTAGCCGGGGCATGGCCCTTTTCGTAATTTGAAGACTAGACGGCCGACCTGCCCCGAGTCAAGTGCGCCGGAATATTCCCGCGGCGCGCACCACTCATTCCGAACAGTGCGCTCTCCGTCTCTCTCGCACCCTCGGGGCGGCCGGCAGGGGTGCGAGAGAGACGGGGCGACGAAAGCTTTGTTCGGGGGCTGGCGGTCGAGTGCGCCGGCGAGGTGCTATTAGAAGGGCGGCGGCAGGGCGGCGGCGGCACCGAGAGGCTGTTAGGCACTGTAGGGGCTGTACCGGGCTGTACCGCAGATGGTGCTGCCATTTCACGGGCCCGGGAATTTTCGTAAACACCGCTCCACGGCCCTAAGGCCCTAGGGCTGCCCGGCCCGCCCGCCCGCAGAGTGCACTGTAGTTTGCCGTTGCCGCCCGGTCGACGCAGGCGCACCGGCCGAGGAGGACGACTTGTGTGTACAGTGGTGTTGCTTCCCGTCGCCGGGTGGACGGATGTTTGGAGGTTCTTCGCTCGCAAAGCCGGCGCGCCGTACTCCTCGAGCCAGCATCGACTCGGCAAAGGCTGGTACTTCGCTCGCAGTACCCTACACTATCACATCACTTTGGCAGCGGCAGGGCGGGGCTGTTGGCGGGCCACTGTTACTGCATCGGGCGGCGCCAGGTCAGGGGGTAGGCTATGGTGATGTTGGCCCAACTTGGCAGAGGACCAGACTAGCGCACACTCACACACACACATGGGCATATAAACAGGCACAGTCCTCGAATGGGTCCCTGATGCGCATTCACCCCCTCCACAATGCTCCAACCCTTGCTTTGCAGTCCGGGCTGTTTATCGTGCGAATTGGGTTGCCTCCAGGGCTCCATAAATTGACAAATTTGCAGATTTGAGTCGACGACTGTGCGAAAACGGGTGAGAAGTGCAGGGGTTGTGGCTGTTGGGCACGACGGGTGCGTTGTCTGTCTGTCCGTCCGTCCGTCTGTCTCCCCTTCGTGCCTGCCCGCAATATCCCCCGGCAGCCCGAAGCACATGGCGCGGCGTCTCACTTTCATACTCTTTCCATTACAGTTTCCAACTTTGTTGCCAATTAATTCGACCGCGTGCCGCGCGACGTGTCGGCGTGTCTCGCCGGGGCACAGGCGGCACAGCTTGCGTGGGGCCTGGGGGCCAGCCCCCCTCCCCCCGGCACGATAGTTGTTGTTTTCTGTAATGTGTGTTGTCCGACGGGAAGGAAAGAAGTCCGGAAGGGGGAGAAAGGAGAAATCAAATTTCCCGCCTCTCGGAAATCCCCCCCGAGTCGCCGGCCGACACGCATGGCGCCGCGCAGGCCAGCAGGCCAGCAGGCCGCCCCAAAGTGAATCACCAAGCCTTGCCGTGTGGTCTGGTGACGTGGAGCGCCTTTTTTTCGCGGACCCCTTTATGAAAGAAACTGGCACCCCGGCGGCGGTGTGGCTGATTCGGCCGATACGGCGAGGTTTTGAGTTTCGCGAACCTCGTTGTCGGCTCGCTGCTCCGTGTGTCCTGGCGGGGCCGGGGGCGGGGCGCCGCGGCCAGGTGGAAAATGAAGGAATGAAATGTTGCATAATTGACTTGGCGGGGCTGCCAAGCTGCCAAGAAATCCCCGTGGATCGCGTTACCACTTGAACAGGGCCAACAAGGGGCTGGCAGCTGGCCTGCAGCTGGGGGTGCGCCTGGCTGCCCACAGAGCCAGGCGTGTTTTATCAGGAGGTAACCCCCTCCCCTCCACTTTACTCTTTCATCTCGTCTTCCCGCATGCAGCCCTCACAGGCCACTTAGCACCCCAACGCGAGCCCCGCCCGCCGGCCCCGCCCTGCCGCCCTGCCTCTCCAGGCTGCAGACGCCGTGGCGGACACGGCGGACGGGCACCAGGCCTCCGTCTGTCTCTGTCGCACTCGTGAGGCGTCCCGTGAAGGTGCGGGAGAGACAGCGGCGGAAACGACTCTCGAAATCAGTCTGCTGGCGACGAGCAGGGCGAGGCTGGCGCCTCCCTCCAGCACCGACAAGCACTTGCTGAACATCGCGGCGGTGCTCCGGCGGTGTTCTCTGTCTCGGGGCGTGGCGAGGCGTGGCAAGGGGGTGTTCCAAGGGTGCCGGCGCGCGGGGGCGGTGGCCGCCCAAAGCTGCCCGAAGCCCGTAAGACGGCGAGCCGTTTTGGAGAGCCCGAAATTAGCGGGGCGTGCATGAGCGCGGCGTGCTTGGCGTCGGCGGGGAGGGCGCGGCGCGCAGCTCAGCGGCAGCACCCTTTCCCGGCGCGGCGCTGGCGGAGAGAGGGAGAGAGAGGGAGATGGCGGCAACGCTGCAGCCGACTCCTTCCGGCTGGGCCGCGCAGCCCCGCGCAGCTCCGCGCAGCCCCGCGGCCGGGCGGGTGGGTCCGCGCCGGAAAATCGATGCCGCCGCCAAGGGTAAGGGCACGGCAGGCCCCGCGCGGGGCGCCTCGTCCTCCCTCTCTGTCTGGCTCGCCGCCATCCCCGCCACCATCCCCGCCAACGCCAAGCCGCCGTGGAGCGTGGAGCGGCGTGGAGGCGGCTGCCGAAAAAGCTGGACTCCTCGAGCCCAAGGATCGTCCCGTCGCGCTGTCACCGTCGCACTCGGGGTGTGTGGCGTTGGGGTGCGAGAGAGACAGAGCGGCGAGGCGATCCTTGGCTTGGGAGTCGCTTGGCTGCTGGGAACCCGGTGCTGCCGAATTCATCCGGCATCCGGCCGAGCTCGCCGACGGCGGCACGGCGGTGGCGACGCGGTGCGCCGTGGTGGCCGTGTTGGCGGGGCCCGGAGTTTCCGGCGCCGCCGCCACGCCCCCCGGGACGCGCGGCGCGGGGCGCGGTCGGTGCGGGAGGGAGGAATGTCATGAATGGCAATCAGCATGGAGGGGTGCAGGCTGACTCATGGCGCGTGCACGGCGCGGACGGCACCGCGACCCGCCCGCCCATCCGCAGTAAAATGCAGTTTTAGAGGCACTAAAGGGCAGGGCGCAGGGCATGGCGCAGGGCATGGCGCAGGGCAGGGCGCAGGGCGCGCGGAAAACTGAAAGCGGGGGAGGCATTGGAGCCGCGGGGTGCGGCCCTTCGCCCGGCCTGTCATTGCGCGCCGTGTTTGCACACACACACACACACACACACACACGCACACACCTGCCATGGGCGTCGCCGCCACTGCCAAACCGGCGGCGCGAGGCGGGCGAGGCGGGCGGCCAGGCGCGGCCAGGCGAGCGAGCGAGGGGTGATGGTGATACCTGACGGCCTGACGGGGCGTTTTCGCCGAAGTGGGAAGGGAGGGAGAGAGGGAGTCACGCTACGCGCTACGCGTTGTTTGGTCGCTGCAGGGACTGCGAGGGCGCCGCGGACACCTCATGCCGGTCGCGAGTCGCGAGCAAGCGGTGGCGGTGAGGTGGGCACCGCTTTCCAGGGACTGGCTTCTTCCGACCAGCGCTTCGTCGTCCTGTCTCTCTCGCACCCCACGGACCGTCCCATGAGTGTGAGGGGGAAAGGGCGCCGCGGCTGGGGGAGCAGTTCGACACGTCATGGCCGAACAGCCCGACGTGCAATCGACGAATCGACAGAGGGAGCGTCGCGTATCGCGTACGCCCGGATCATGTTCGGGGGGAGGGACTCTCTGCGGCCCGCCAGGATACGGCTCGTGCTGCCGTGCTGCCCCGGGCCGGGGAAGTGTGAACCGGTGTGAACGACCTCCGCGCCCTCGTGCATAAGTGATGGCCGCGTGCCATGCGGTCTGCTTTTGCTGGGACTGTACCGTACTCCGTCTGTGGTTTCGTTCCCGATCCGGATGGAGTTGCGCTTTACGCAGGACCGGCGGCGTCGGCCAGCGTATCGCCGCGCTGCTGTTTTGCCTGCGAAGGTGTCGCTGTCGTAAGATCCTCCGATTATCCTCTCATTACGAGTCGATGTCGTCAGGCGAATCCCTCCTCCCCTCCCCTCCCATCCCTCTTTCTCTCCCAGAGGGAAGCGCTCGTGTCCGCTTGTCGAGGTCAGGTGGGAGGGTGGGGGCGTGGGGGGGCTCCCTGCCGATCGACCCAGAGGGGGGCAGAAGCCCCGTCCCCCCTCCCGCTCAGCTGACGCGCCTCTGCACTCAGCTGAGCACCCCCCCCCCCTCCCCTCTTCTCTCTCCTCGGCCCTCGGCTCGGCCGGCCGTACCCCTTTTCGTCGGGAGGGGGCGGATACCCGGATCCCCCCGGCCTGCCCCGGCCTGCCCCGGCGCCACGGGGATCGTTCGTCCGGCCCCCAACTCCAAGTGGCCCCATGGCCTTTTATGACATCATTGTGTGTGTGTGGGTGTGTGCGTGTGTGTGAGAGAACGCGCGGGGGCGGGGGCGGCGGTACCCGTTTTGCGAGATGGCAGACTGCCACAAGGTCAGCGGGCTTCATGAGTGCCTTCCGAGTGGCCTGGTTGGACACTGCTAACCCATGGCCCTCTCTCTCTCTCTGTTTGCAGTTCTCCATCCGGCTGGCGTCCAGCACGTACGCCAACTCGACGCTCATGCTGCGGCCCGTCACCGTGTTCGCGCCCATCAACATGGCCTTCCAGCAGTTCCCCCGGAGCGACAAGGACGAGAGCCTGGTGCTCTACCACATCAGTAAGCCGCCGCGTGGTGCCCTGCTTATAGTCCGCCTCGCCGCTGCGCTGCCTGTGTTCTGACTAACGGATTCCCCTCTCGCCCGCAGCCAACCAGCCCATGAAGCTGGAGTCCCTGACGCAGCCCATCGTGTACTCGCAGATGGAGGGCAGCCCTCCGCTGTGGATCACGCACCGCCGCGACATGCTCAACAACGAGGACGTGTTCGTCAACAACGCCAAGATCGACAAGAAGGACTCGGACTACAGCGGCAAGAACAGCAAGGGCCACCTGCAGGTGAGTGCGGCTGTGGCTTTGCGGCAGAGCCATGCAGGCAGCCAGTCGTCGCTCTGTCTCTCTCGCGCTCATGGGACGCCCCGTAAGGGATGCGGGGTGCGAGGGAGATGGAGCGTCGAAAAGATCCTTTGGATTCAGGCGGCAGGCAAGCAGAGCCCTCGAGCCTCTTGTCTGCGGCGTGGTTGGCGCGGCGTTGGCGCGGCGTTGGCGCGGTGCCGGGGCACGTGGTATCGACCTATCGACCTGCCGCGCCTGATGAGGTCGCCGCGCCAGGAACACACCTCGGACAGCCAAGCCGAAAGGGCGAGGCCGAGGAGAGGAGGCGTTCAAGCTCTAACTCTGCCTGCCGCGGCTAGGCTAGGCTCTCGGCAAAGTTCTAGGCCGGCCGCTCGGCAGCGCTGTCCGTCGGGATGCCTATCCTCGCTTCCGCGGGCGCCCCGGCCGGCCGCGCTGGCCGCAGCTCAGACCAGCAGACTGACTCCGAGAGTCGTGTCCGTCGCTGTCTCTCTCGCACCTATACGGGATGCCCCGTGAGTGCGAGAGAGACAGAGCGGCGAAAACGGAATGGAATGATGCCGGAAGGAAGGACTGACTGGCTTCTCCTCCCCCAGGTGCTGCATAAGATCGACGAGGTGCTGCAGCCGGTGCGCCTCAAGCCGGGCGCCACCTCGGACATGCTGTACAACCCCAACGCCATGCAGCTCATCTCGCAGAGCGGCGACTTCGACCTGGACACCCACACCATCCGCAGCTTCGCCGAGGCCGTGTCGCGCCGCAAGGTGGACATCTTCAACAAGGAGGGCCGCTACACCTTCTTCGTGCCCGTCGACTCTTCGTACAAGGTAGGCAGAGCGGGCCGCCCGTGCCCACGGCAAACGATGCGAAGCGGGGAACGCCACGCGGCCACACTGTCGGCGCTAACGCTGTGGTGTGTTTGCTCATCTGCAGCACTTCGAGGCCGTGGACAAGACCGTCATCGAGGGCCACGTCATCCCCGGGCACGTGCTCTTCACCGCCCCCACCCCCAACGAGAAGCCCTACGCCACCGTCTCGTTCAGCGAGCAGATGCAGGTCACCATTTCCTTCACCACTGACCACAAGAAACGCAAAAGTGAGTTGTCGGGAAGCAAAGCCGACTTCCCCAGCAAAAACGGGAAAACCAGGAACCGTTTTTGCAGTGTCTTTGGCGCGGCTGTGGACCCAGTAATGATTGTCTTGACTCCTCTGCTACAGCCATCGTGAAGAGCAACACGGTGATCGGGGACGAGAAGCACCCCTCCGGCGTGGTGATGGCCGAGGTCATCAAGGCCAATATCCCGGTCCGCAACGGCGTGGTCCACTTGATCGACAGACCCCTCATGGTCATCGACGCCACTGTCCAGGAGTTTGTTGAGGTGCGTGCCACATTTGAGTGTTTGTTCGGAATTTTTTTGTTTGTAGATCCCTCTGCTAACATCGTTGTTTGCTCCTCTTTCTTCTATTTTGTTCTTCCTGCCGCTGATGTGAATGCTGTGGATCTGGACAAATGGACCATTCATTCCCGGATGGCTTACAGTCATTCAAGGTAAGCTGTGCAAACCTACCTGTTTTTCGGGAAATGGTTATTTTGTTGTTTTCTCTTTCGATGTTATCCCTTTACGGTTTCCTGCAGTCATGGTTGGCGTTGCTATATTGATCTGTCTTGTAGTTAGATTTAGAAATGGATTGGGTTCTATCGCCTTTCTCTAAATTATGCCAAGAGATTTCACAGGTGGTCATTTGGGTTTGAAGGCCAATTATCATTGTGAACTCTCTTGACAACTTTACCTTACTCTATCATACATTCTTTGCTTCCTCTGTGGCATTATAATTCTAAGTTGGTTGAATATTTTCTTTCCTTCCAATAATGCTTTCTATATGAGTGATTCTGAATTACGTTAAAGTAACCATCAGTGAGCTGCAGCAGCAAGCAGGGTGGGCATCCTTAGGTTTTGCTCCCTTCATAAATTGGTGTCGGTCTATCCAGTTTTATCTTCCTCCCACCATGCAACATGACAATAAACTGTTCTCTTTGCTTTGCATGTTGTCCTTATGTGAATATTGTTAACGTCCGGCTGTACTCCAAACTGCTGCGTGTTGCAGGAGTTCGTAAGTACAGCAACTACATGTCTTAGTCACTTCCGACCTAGTGCTGCTGTATACCATTGCTCAAAATTTGTTCTCAAAATCACTTTTTTATTCACGCCTGCTTTGAACAATCTTTCTTCCACACACGATCACCCGTCATGTACCTCCTGCTGCTTCTCTTCTGTGCATGTTTTTTTCCATACTGTCCTTATTGTCCTCACAAGGAGTGCTGTGGCAATGTTCATCAAATGTTTCTTCCGAAAATGGAAATAAGTGTTAACACAAAGAGTGGGTGTTGTTATTGTATCTAAATGTGAGTGAGTGACACATCATGGATGAAAAAATTTGGATGCTTCTTGCACTGAAGTGCTCACCCCAACTCAATCATGCACCCACTCAACTATGAAATGAATGGGACTGACATCTTTCACCACCATCCACAACTCATCCTCATTTTGCTTGATCAAATTTCTGATTTTCCACAGTTTGTGACACCTAATGTCCTTAGTTCATGGGATAATTCTTAGCCAAACTCTAATCAAAAACTCATAAATATCAGTAGACCAAAAATATCCGATGGGTGCGGTGTCCCATTGAAAATGGTAAGTGTCCCTTGTAACATGAACGATTACCCTTCCAGGATCGTGAAGACGGCCCCCTGTACGAGTTCCAAAAGGTGCTCACCAACAAGGTGGACTCTGGCTTCCTCCGCGGCCTTGGCGAGATGAAGAACTTCACCCTGTTCGCGCCGTCCAACGAGGCGTGGAAGAACCCGGCCGCGCTCGCCGCCCTCAACAACCGCACCCTCCTGAACGAGGTGATTCGGCTGCACATCGTGGACCAGCGGCTCCCGCTGGAGCACATCAAGCTCAAGACGCACAGCCTCCACCACCAGGTACGCCACCACCAGCAAGGCCACCGTCACCACCCCCACCAGGTAAGCAAAGCCATCGTGCTGCACTAGCCTAACTCTAGCTTTAGTCTAGCTCTAGTCTGGTCACTCGTTCAGATCAATTTTACTATATGAATGGGAGACTCCTTTTTTCAGGAGGGAAAATTTGGTGCCAAATATTGTTAGGGCGTCATTATTTTTAACGAGTCTGGTTTGTTTTAAAATTCAAAATGTAAAGGGTTCTTTTGTTTTTTACTGATGTAGGAGAAATGGGACTTCTTGTTTGTGTTCCTATTGAAGTAAGGTGCACCTTTTTAAATCTGATTTAAGATATTGGTTGACTTCCATGCCCAGAAAAGTAATTCCTCAATATTCATTTCTGAATTAATGATGAACATTGCTCCTTTTTGAAAGCACTCAGCCCAAGCTGTCACTAACTGGGGTCTAGAATACCCCACAATTTTAATGATTATGGTGTTGACGACAGGAACCTGGTAAAGTAACAATCAACAGTAGATGTATCCACCGGCTGCATATTGCTAGGTGCCCTTTGCACTTCCCTTTGGTTGCACAGGTGTAAGCTTGCTTGTTGGCACTTCAACAAAATCAAGGTGTCACTTTAAATTTAACCAGTGTAGTGTGAGCCAATATGGGCCCGAGTCCCTGTGCCAAACAATAAATAGACTTAACATAACTTTTTCTTCCATTTTTCAATTAAAATTCTTTAAATGGTGGAATTTAAGGTATTTGTGTTTGTTTAGTCTTTTATCATAAGTTTGTTGTTTTTTCTCAGAAATTTTAGTAACCAACAAAGTACACGTCTCAAATGTACTGCATTGAGTGCTATGGGGTAGTATGACTGGGCATTGGTGTCATCCAAACACATCTCACTGACGTTTTAATTCACAAATGGAAAACTTAAGTTTTGACAATGGTTGTATATGAGCTCATCACTGCCACACACAACACATTCTTCTAGTTATAGAACTTTGAAAATATTTTCAGATGGTATCAATAATCATCAGAGTTGTAAATAAATTGTAAAATATGAAATCTACATGACAGATGTCAGAACAACATTGAGGTGTCTATATGTTGTTTGTAGTCATCAGGAAACAAGCGCAAGTCTCTGTGACTCTTCATGAAATTGGTAGAACAGTGCACTCTGTCTCAAATGTAGTATGCTGGGTAACGAATCCTTACCTGTGCCTCCAAAAAGTTTCTTAATCTTAAATTATTGAAATTCTTTGCACTTAGACTCTCAGTGTGTCGGCACTGTACTGTCCTAACACTTATGACCCATAAATTTCCCTCAATTGACTGGTCCCTTTTGAATTTCACAACTTTTCTTCAGATTGAAGTCGATTTCATAAATATTATGTGTTTGAAAAATAATTATTGCTCAACATAGCATTTTTGTAGAATAGGAGGGCACTCCAATGTACAATAGTTATCTCAACAATAAAATATAGTAACACTGAAAATAGAGGAGTAGGCAAATAGATGTAGCAAATCTGCTCCATTGGTGATCTTTTTACATTTTCTGCATAATCAGAGAATTTTTATGGAACAATTCATAATTGGGGCATTTGCTAGTTAAACCTATTTAGTGTGTTGGTTTATCAGAGCTCCAGCAACGGAAAGAATTCATGGTATGTGAATGAGTATATGTTACTTGTTATGTAAAGGTCAGAAAGAGAATTTTGTGTGGGAAACTGTGAGATTGTTTAAGCATCTGTCTGTATGTCAGTTTATGGTTTAAGAGATGACATGTTTTAAGTTTGTCACAGAGCTATTTCTTCTGTATTGAACGGACCTTTTGATTATACTGTCTCTTCCTCTCGTTTAGCTCTTCCAGGTGCGGTCTATGTCAGACCCGAAGAACCTTTACTTCAATGTCATGGTTTCTGGTAGCAACCACACACTGACTGTTGAGGGAGGTGGTGTCAATGCCACTGTCATTCAGCCTGATATTGCTGCCACCAATGGTATCATCCACATTATTGACAGAGTTCTTGGTATTGCTAGCCATACTGTCAAGGAAAAGTTAGCGACTGACCCATCAATGCTGTAAGTATCTGTTAAAAATTATTGAAAGTTTTATTACAGTATGTACAGAGAGATTGTTTGCTTTAACCGTTAGTTTTTACCTATGGTTCACCTTTTTTCTTAATTTCAGGAAAACGTATCACTTAGGTGAGACAGAATTTAATGACCGTTTGAAGGACAATAACACACGATTCACTTACTTTGTGCCACGTGATGTGGCGTGGCATACCGCTGAAATTAAATACCCATCTGCTATTAAGAAGCTGTTCATGTCCAAGTTCAAATACCATGTAAGTATTTCTATTAATTTTATTTCCAGAGGCTAGGTGGTATAGTTTAAGAAACTTGTGAAATCTTACTGAGAACCTCTTTCAGGCTCATCAAATTTTGGAGCGCCACCTTGTTGTTGCGTCTACGGCTTACACCATGATGGATATCAAGAGGATGACTCACAGTGGCCCAGTTACCCTACACACAGTTCGAGACAAACTTGAGCTCCAACTGCAGGAGAAGGCTAACGGTATGTTTGCTAAAATGCAAGAGCTAAATCCTTTTTCTTTTTCATGGCATGTGCTCATTTCTCAAACAATAGATAGAGGCCAAAAACTTATTTTTTTGTCATCGTTGCTGAAGTGTTCAGTTCTTTGCTTTTATTTTTAAATAGAAAAGAGAATGAATTTTTTACTTGTTTCATTTTACTGAAATAGATTCCTTTTTTTTATTACCTATTTTTCATTTAATAATTATTCCACCTGAATATAGGTGCCACAAATGGGACCGGTGAGTACTAACTGGTTCTCATTGTCATTCCACCTCTAGTTGCTTCATGTTTACCTGTGATCCACTTTCTTGTCATAATAAACTTTGGTAATTGTGCTAGCTTGCCCATGGCAACTGCCTTTTAATGTGTATTGGCAGCTTGTGAATCAGGAAAACCTTCTGTGGCACCCTTTTCCAATAATTAAAGTTTTATGAAATGGGAAATTAAGCACCAGCTCCTCAAATGCTACTTTGTTTTCACTTTAAAATGCATAAGAGGCACGGCAACACAAAATCAGAATATCTTTGAAGCAATTTGATCCCCAAAAAAGACTGATGATTATATCTTTGCCTTTTTTGACTTATTTTTTCATTTTTGTTTTGTATTTTTATCTACTGCCCCCTTGCTCCTTTTTCATGTATTTTTAAAAACTGTGATCCATGTCAGCACAAATGACACTTCTTTTCTGTACCTAATGTCATAGCAAATTAGGGAATTATGTTTCTTAACATTCTTTGTCCTTCTGTTCTAGGCTATTACCTTAAGTGGCAAAATGAAGAAATCCTCGTCCACCGCGCTGATGTCGAGTGCACTAATGGCATTATTCATGTCTTGGATGGTGTTTTCTTGAAGGAGAGTGACATTCGTGTCACAGCTGGTGTATCAGGTGTTATGCTGTCTTCGAGCTTGCAGCTGTTTGTAACGATTCTGGCACCTTTCCTCTTTAAATGGGTATTGGGTTAGGACAACAAAACCACCTCTACAGACTGAGCTAACTAGTCATACATCCCCCTCATTAATGAATGGGAGAAACTGAAAAACAAAACAAAAAAAAAATCTCCAACATTTTTTGACTATACAATAAGGAGCCTATCAATTTTAAGTTGCTATTATAGTTGTTGGAGAAAAAGTTCTTTATTTTCCGTTTTAGGGCTTTAAGTAGCAAGAGCTTGGTTATTGTCTTTTCTTTTATTCTGTGAGGTTTCATTTTTGTCCACTTCACCACAGCCTGCAAGAAGAAAGGCTGCTCTTCTATTCAGTTGTTATTTGTTCAAAAAGCATTCTGTCTTACAAATCAAGCTGAAGGTTTGACGCTGAGCTCATCTGGAGCCCTTTGTCTTCAGACTTCCATGCTTGAGGAGTGGCGTGTGTGGGAGGGGGCATGACCTCCCCCCCTTTTGACACTAGACAGCCGCCTGAAAGGTAGGCAAATTGCCATGCGTCCGCCTGAAGGTAGGCAAAAGGCATGGTTTGGCCCCCCTTACAAAAATTTCTGCGTACGCTCCTAGAAAATTATCAATTTAAATTTTTTTGTGGTTTACCAGTGTTTCTGTTACTTCACATGTTGATGTGCATAGGTCTTGCACTGCCTCTATGCTAGGTTTCTATTTTGTTACCCTTTTGTTTTTCACTTACCTAAGTCAGTATGCTTAGATGGAACTAAACAAAACAAAAAAGAAGTTTAAGATCTATCAAATAAGAGGACCATTGTCTCAAGAGGACAGATAAATTGGAGATTGTGCATGCGTGATGATAGGAGGAGGCATGTGAAAACAACTTCACTTGCTGCAAATGCAGACAATAATCATGAAAATTCAGTATGTCTAAATGGATACTGGCTCATATGTGAGGTTTTGGAGCAGATTTCTAACACACTCTCAGTAAATCAGAAATTTTAATAATGAGAAATGCCCTTTTCCCTCGTTATTATTAATTTTTAAAAATTTCTTCTTTGATCATTGGCCTGATTTAATTTGGCTTTGCCAATGTTTGTTTTCTCAAACTGCCATTCTTGACGTGTTCAAAGTGAAATTCCAATAAGGTGTATGTGCAATGTTGAAAAAGCATCTCATAGAAAAGTACCTTGAAATGAGATAGTGCAAAACAGACTCTAAAATAATTAAATTTAGGTCGTTCAGGATGTGTTAGTACGTCTTTTAGGGCTGTCAGTAATGTGTAAGTAGCAGAGCAATAGTAAATTCAGCAATTGTAGTGATTACACTCCCTTCTCTACTTTGAGAATTTGGATGACTTGTTTCACTTAAGTTTGCTGCTTATTTAAGTGCTTGAAATGTGATCAGAGAAGGCCAGGTTTCCAATTTTTGGCCGTTGTTCTTAAAAGGATCGCTCGGACTGATGTGTCATATTCCCCAATGGCTGCAGCTGAGCCAATTTAGTTTCGGCCATGATGGGTCACCAAAGACATCCATGGATATGCCTGTTGTCATCCATGGAATGATATACGCCTTTTTATACATAATGTATATTTATTTACCATGCATTTTTTAGCTTTACAACAGCATATTTTTAAGGGAGTAAAACAAGCTGTATCTTAATGATACTATCCTAAACGGATTCTCAAAACCACCAACTACCTTGTCTAGTTTAATATATGAAAACTGCAAATGCATAATTCTAATTATGCTGGCACATTGTTACTCGTAGGTGTTTAATGTACATAACATGTTTGTAAATGACTCAGTACACTGACACTGTAAGTATTTACTGTATGTGTGCCTGATACTGAACATTTGAAGTGTGAGTATCACATGTATGTAAGTGAGTGAGAATGTTGAAAAATTTCTGTCAAATGTTTTGAAGTGAATGTGTGAATTCTTCACAACTAGGGTGAAAAGGAAGGTTTTGGAAATTGTGAAGAAGGACTCAAGGGTGCATGTGGATCAATTTATTTGAGTCTCAATCCTTACCATAGTCTTAATGTAGGAAATTTATGTTTGTGCTGTGCAGGATGTCTACCTTAAATCGCATACATCCCTTCCCTTGCTTTGGAGAAGTTGCTGGTTGAAGCCATTTGTGTAGTTTGTATGTGATTCAGTGTATCAGTTATTTGGCCAGATTTTCTCTTGAGACTAGATATTTTAATTCATCATGATCATGTATTCTCAGTGAAAACTTCAAGTGTATTTCAAAGTACATAGAGTTACCCATTTAAACTGCTTGTATTTAATTACAACTTTTGGAAGATTACCAGTCAAGTTATTTAATTAATCTCAATGTCTGATTTTTTTTTCTTTCTTTTCCTTGAATATTTATTCTTCATTTATTATTCTGGCAAAATAGTGCCTGTTCGTGATAATTATACTCAACCTGATCAGTGTTATGTTTGTAAAGCAAGCTGGTGTCTGGTTTCAAGTGGAGTTTGGCTTGAATACCACAAGATATTAATTTTTAGATAGAATTTTGTAAGCTAGTTTAATTCAATTTTTGTAGCATGGGTTTTGTGCTTCTTGACTGCGAGGGTGCTTGGATTTAACTGTCCTACAAACAAATTGATCAATTGTTCATTTATTTTGCATCAAACTTGTATATTTACTAAGGATGGAAGTTATTTATTGCCTCTTTATTCAGCTGGACGATTTAGAAAACCATTGCACTTCACACACATGTCGAGGGGTCCTATTCAAAAGATCTCATCTGGGCGTTCCCCCCACCCCCAAGACAATCTTATCTTAAACGCAGGTAAATTTCACATAGTTTGATCATTTGATACAGCTACATATCAACATAATTTGTGAGTTTCATGAAGTAAATCTAAAGATGGAAGATCAATGAAACCAAAAGTGCATGTAGAAATATGTTTCGCTCACCGTCGTATTTATTCTGATTCATCAAAATGAGTGAAATTTGCCGGCGTTTAAGATAAGATTGTCTTGAGGGGAACACCCAGATAAGATCTTTTGAATAGGACCCCTCGATGTGTGTGTATAGTTGACGCAAAATAAATTGTAATTACAGTTCTTGTTTAGAAGTTTTACATCGTAAAGATTCACTAACTAGTATATCATCAATTAACAACTGCCAAACTGCTTATTTTTTATATCTGATTGGGTAAAAAGATATAGGGAATGTAAAACTTCTGTAAATCAAAATCTCATGGTACCCTTTTTGTTCACTCGTAACTATTAATATCCCTTAAGTAAGTCAAAAACCATGTCTACTTACACCCATTCAAAAAATGATTTAAGAGCATAACCCTATAAAAAGAAAGATACATGAACACAGAGCTTTGTAGGCAATGTGCTGATTTCAGGAGTTGGGAGTGAATCTATCTGAATGTAGCTGATTATTCATAGTGGACTCAAGGAAATGCAGAGTCGAAAGTTACTGCAAGTAGATGGTAGCGGGTACTGCTGAATCTCATCACTGTTATGGAAGAATTGACCTTAGGACAGTTGAAAATGTATCCTACTTCACCTCACAATTATGGGGCAGAGTTTATGTGGCATGTCCCCTGCAATAAATGCTTTACATTCCATTTAAGAATCTCTTTTCTGATCCTTTCCCCTAACTCACATCATGGGACACATAGACACACCGTGCTCACATCTTTTACTAGAGTCTGAAATTCATATGGAATGTTCCTTTGGGCCTATGAAATGGATGCCTGGTACCAACGGTCTTTGACACTTTAAGAAGATTACCTTTCCCGTGCTTCTAGTTGAGCTGAGGTATGGTGAAGCTGTTGGCCCTTGAAATAGTGTCAGGAGTCATTGGGGAGTGCTTCAGCACAAAAGGATAGAGCGGATTTAAATCAGTTCTTTTATTGACACATTGACACAACAAGCCTCGGACATTTTAAACACAGCTGAGTGGGAAAATTACATTTCCATTGACAAAAAAAAAATACTGTATTGAAATATTAAAATGCTATCAGGATGGGAGCAAGCCCATGACACTGGTGTCAGTCACTTTGATAGTACATAGTTCCACATGATTCATGGGAGAAAGGAGAATACAGTATGTACAATAAATCAAATTTTATAAAGTCTAAGAACAGATACAAATACGTATAAAAGCCAGCAAAATTGTTTTTGCTTTGATACGCAATACCAAAAATATAAAGTGGCCCCTGAGTTTCCTTTGCAATGTAAAAACTTGCTGCTCAATCCTGATGAGGCAAAAGGCCTAGATGGCCTAGAACACCACTTGGCACTTCAACAGTGCAGCCATTCTTCAGCAAAATTTAATAGCACCAGCTCCGAACAGCTATACAAGGCATTAAGGCAATATCGAACAAACACAATAAAAAGTTTAAAATAAATCAAGTACTTAAATACTACTGCAGTGCATGAATTGGTCCGTTAGACAGAACTATAGGTATGAGACTCAAATATTTTATCTATTATCAGCACTTATTTAACTTTAATTTTATTGTACCTTTAAACAGAGGTTTTGCAATGATTTTTATTCCAAAATAAGGAAATGACAGTCTTCAGATGTAGACTGGATGGAAATTTGTAAAACAATGGATTTAGCTCAGCAACAGGGAACAAAAACATAAGGAAAGGCCTGCAGCAGTCGCTACCAAACTAACAATTAATGCTAAGAGGACCCAACTCCTTGCATCAACAAAATGGACTTGTAATAGTACACTGATGATCTTGTTTGAATTGAAAATGCATGATGAGATAACAGAAAGTTGCTTACAACATCAGCCAACTTCTACCTTATGGATGCTATGTACAGCAATTAAATTCTAGAAACTAAAATTATCTGCAGTGATACCCAAATATGTGACATAGTGGAACAGATAAGGTAACACAATTAGCACAGTACACATCAGCACACAAGTCAACAGAGATCAAAGACAAGTCATTTTTCCACAGTTTTTTTAGTCTTATTACAGACAGTAGGCAATTTGAATATTGAAAAATTTCCCCTTCAAAACTTGAGTTTAAGGAATACTGAAGCAACGGTGGTATCATGGAATTCTCAGTCGGGTAATGACAGAACGTCAATCAATAGCAAAATATCTATGAATTTTAACTTTACCTAATTTGGAAAAAAACCAAGCTACTTACAAAAGTTTTTCTCTTAGTTTTTATCAATTCTGCATCGAAAAGGCCTTAACCAGTCTCAATTTGTAAGTACATTGCTAAACAACATTCATGAGCACTTTTTCCCTCTTAGAAATTTGAAAGTAAGAAACCGAGCATTGAAACAAAACAGGAGAATTCAAATTATGTTTAGAGCCTGTATCTCATGGCATAGCGGCAGAAGCAAAGGATAAAATGTGCACCTAAAAGATTTTTGTCTTTCTTTTTTTAAATTTGGTCAAACAGCAAAATGGGTTGGGTGACACAAAATATGCTGTTGTCAGTCAAAAACATTGGCATGGACATAACACAAAACACGGCAAAACTGACTTATCTTCTGTTACAAATGTGATAAAATATTAAATAATCAGGTACCTTAGAAAGTATGCAAGTTCACACATGAGCAAAGAGACAAGTAAATTATAAGATTTGATCTTGAGTGTTTAAGACTGAGGAGCAGCACCCAATCTCATCCAACTATGGCACTTCCTTTAAAACAAGAGGTATGTTAAATTCTGCCACTAGGAGAATGTTTTTGCCACAATGATTCAGAAATAAATAGACAGATGATTGCACAAATTCAATGATAACATGAAACAGTACTTAGGGACAACTTCTTGTTTTTTAATTCTTGGAAAGAAAGCTAAAATCTACATGACGTCAACTGATGACACATATAATAGAAAGTGATATCACAATACATTTCTACAACTGAAAACATAATAAAATGTATCACATCACAGAACTGCAGTTGTCATCATTTAGCATTCACATCACTACTACACAATAGATAAAAAGTTGAGATGGGATTATCTCAAATGAAAAAAATTTCAAAATAGTTCATGAATGAACCAGATTTCAATAACACAGTGTGCTAAAAAACTAACTGTTACATCAATGTCAATCAATCACATCATACTGTCACTTTAAACAAGAGATAATAATACAATTAAAAAAAACAACAACTAAAAAAAGAAACCAGTTTTACTTAATTGAGCCATGGGAAAAGTTAATGAACAGTTTTAATTAAACCACAGCTGGGCTATAGTACATATAAGCCAAAGTAAATTATGAAGAAAAACAAAATATTTCAAAACTTGCATTAAATAAAAAATTACATTCAATGATTATAGCCACAATACATATTACACCATTTCTTCATTGTAAGATCCCCCCCTTTTTTTCTTTGAAGAGGTATAATTAAATGTACCACAATATATCTATGTGTTTGATTTGACCTCAATCAATGTCAGACTATCTATCAACTTGATTGAAAGCAAACCAAAGACGAAGACTAGCATAACACACCAATCAAAATTATTTGGGTTGTTTACTGAGAGCACAGCCCATTTGGATTTGTTGACCCCTTTCTAAATCAAATCTGAAATCTTTAGGAGCTTCAAACAACAAAACTACAGTGGAGCCGAGACGAAATTCGCCGAACTGCTCACCCTTTGCAAATGGAATCCCTTTCCCTGGAGGACCAAGAAATTTGTCTCGCTGTACAGGTTGTCCTCTTGGCCATTTTGGTAGGTTGGTGTGCAGAGTCTGTCAAAAAACGTGGTGGACTTGTTACATGATGACGCATTTCAGTAGAGAGCGTTCATATAAAATTGAGACATTCTCACCTCATCACAAATAACCCTAATATTTCCCACATTTGTAGCTCCAACAGCACCAAAGCAAAAGAATCCATGCTTCCATTTCCCAACAAACACAGCACGTTCATTCAGCGAGAACAAGTCAGGAATCCACCTTGCAATTCTAGGGTTGACACTTAGTAAGTCCCCTGAAAACGGTAAAAATGTGTCTTTCATACTATTTCAGCATATATTGAAAGCCTTGTATTGGAGCTAATTTACCTTGAAAGTGGCGCCGAAAGTTGACATTCCATTGAGTAGGCGAATGAAATCGATGATAATCTCCGGGAGCTAAATAGACTACACATTGGTACAAGTCAGTATCTTTGTTCTGAAGTAACTGTTTCTTGTACTCATCCCAATCAACATTGGCCGGGTCATAAGATGTTTTGACTTCTTCGCCTGACTCATGATTGAAACCATTTCTTTTCAGCCATGTGGGTTCACCAAGAAATGCAGGAATAGAGTATTTTATACCCTTGACTTGATCAACGTGGCAACCGTCAACTCGTCCAAAGTTCAGAATGCGCCCATCAGCAGGTGATACCTAAGGTACAAAATGATAAAGTAGGATAAGGCCCCAAAACATATAAAACAAAATTATTATCATACAGGAATTAACTCACAATACTATGAAAAGGATCAATGGGTCTGACATTATCCTTTAACTGGCGGCAGAAGAAATCAGAAAGGGAAGGGTAGCAGGTGAGGTCCTCAACTTCAGCTTCATGGATTTTGCAACCAAACATGTCAGCATACATTCCATAAACCCAAGGCCGTATTGACCGTGGTAGTTCCAAGTTAGTAAGCCATCCCCATGCCCGAGATGAGGCACGAAGAGGGATCATGCGGTAGCAAGTCACCTGGATAAGCAAGAAAAAAATGATAACAAGAATAAAAGTCTAAAAATTCTGTACATCATAAAAACTGTTACAAAATTTGCATTACCTCCCACTTTTTGGCGACTGGATTTTCTTGCTGAGATCTTTGGCGCCATTGAAATGCAGCTACAACTAACACTAATCCAAATGCACCAATGCGTAGGGGACGCCAGCTGGTAATGTAACGTTGAAAACGTTGCCATCGACCTCCTGAGTTAAGATGTTCAGTGCTTGTGCCTAAAATATTAAAAAGAGGGAAAAAAAACACAAAACTTATTTGTATAACCACAAAATCCAATGTTCACGACTAAAGGAGAGAACAAACCGTAGGAGGCAGTAGGATAGCAAACATCTTCACGTATGGCTGTAGTTGTGTTGAATGTCTTCTGACCAGCAAGTAGAAAGCATTGTGGGACACTGCAGCGTATGGTATGAATTACCCTGATGAAAAGAAAGAAATTAATAAATTAGTATGGACAAAAACAAGTCCTTTCTCTATGCAAGATTATCTCATTGTGCCTGAACAAAACTTCTAGGGTAGGTTATAAAGTTTGGGGACTCATTAACTCAGCCGAAAGTAACTGAACGTTCAACACGAGGGTAATAAACAAACGAGGTGTGATTTCTGACATATGTCATAAACATTCAACATGAGATGCATATTTTAAAATATTTTACATAAAAGTCGAGACAAAAGAGCAGGTTCGTTTGTGTCGTGAGCTGCGGTATTTGGTTCCATTAAAAGGATACCAAACAAGGATTCTTACACTTACATCCTCAGAGAAGAGCTGAAATGTTACTGTTTTAAACCGATTGGAATTTGGCCGTCAAAATCGTAGAATAAGAAGAAATTCAATTTCCAAACGAGTGCAGCTCAGCCAGCCGACGACTCCCTGCCAACTGCCCACCCACCCACTCCTGCCCACATCCGACCCGACCCACCAATATGCGAAATTGAACGTTCGGTACTTTTCTGACCTTAGCTCGGGGCAGTCGCATAGCTCGTCTTCTATGTTGGACCGTATGAACAAACGTCCTAAAGAATAAAATGGGAATTTCCTCCTTTCTTGTAAATAGCTCCAGTCAAGCAGTCACAAGCAATGTTCCATTTTTGTTATGAAAGTTTAGCCACTAATTTTTCATACGTGCAGAATCGTGAAGGGAATGTAAATAAGCTCCCCTCCCCAACCCAACACTTGATGCATTTAACTATTCCCTTGAGGGTGTTGTTACCTTGTTCAAATTTCTACAATGTGACGTTTTATTTTAGTGGCAAGTCTTTAGTGTTGATTTATTTGTTGAAACATGGGCCTTAGAGGCGGACGCCAGTAATGGTTTGCCTGCATATCAAACCGTCGTCAACGTTTGGTTACCATGACACCAAACCAACAGAGAAATAAACAAATTTAGGGGCAGAAGGTTTACATCTGTTCCACTTCTCTTTTTCCAGTGACCAGTATGTTTTCCTAGAAAATAAAGGTAACTTTTGGCATACCATTGCACACTGCAACGGTGCCTTGCTTCTTTTTTATTTGGGCTCTGGAGGGCTTCCTAGTGTTGAAACTGCACCTGTGAGAAAAAATTAATGGTTATGTGTTTTTTCAGTAGAAATTTTTGTGTTGTTCTAGGATTTTACCCTGTAATGGGCGTGCTTTCGGACCTGCCGACTGTAGACCCTAGCGTCAGCAGTTTCAAAACTACTAACTCGCCTCTCTCTTGGCTGTGCAGCAATGTAGTGGGCTACCTTGCACCAGCCCTCTTGCCTCCGTTACATATTGGTCTTTTCTATTTCTTTTGGCATCAATACTCTCGCCATGTGGATAAGCGATATTGCACATGTTCTTGCTGGGACACCGTCTTTAAAGGTGAGCTTTGGAAATCTCTTTGTTGTTTGCTGGAATACAATAGTTGTTTACTGCAGAAAGCTCTTCTGACATTCTTAAGAATCAAAACGGTTCTTTTCACTTTTCAATGTAGAATAACAAGTATGAAATTTCCTTCCTCAGGTACATATGAGTCCGGAATCGCATCATACAAACACCTTTATTTTAATGCTACGGGTAACACATTGAAGATTTGGTGTCTCACTGTTGGAGCTGTTATATTACTTTACGAATGTGTGAGGCAGCTTACATTTCTGGGATTACGTTGTCGGCTTCGACCCTCGATGACAGTTCTCTTCCTATCATCCTTGTTCTCTCACTATTATTCATGGTAATGGAGCTTTATCCCATTTTCAGGAAAATTTCCGCTGGGTATACCTTATGTATTAATTTTTCTTAAACCGATTTTTCAGGTGGGTGTTTGTAAACTATTGGAATGATGACTTTTATTCCCAGTGGAACCACCAGCTGTTCTTTACCATCACAGAAGCCATTTCTACAGCCTTTGTTATGAGACTTGCTGATAATCGAGTCATTGTAACACCATGCACTATTTTAAGCATTGTAGGCATAGCTTTCATGCATGTACTTACAAGTGGCACTGATCAATTTATTTTAAATGTTGTCAGGGGTGAAGGATACATGCATCAAGTGAGTACATTTTAAAACAAAATTATTGTCCCTCTAAGTGTACAACACTGTTTTCTACATCACTTTTTTATCTTCCAGGTCATGCGTGATGTCAGTCTTATGATTCCTGATTTATTACACATTTCTCTTCCCATCCTAGAGTTGAGCCGTGCCCAAAAACTACGACTTGACAAGGATATGCGTCAAAATGTTTGTATGATGATTTGTATTATTGTATTTGGTTTTATCATAAGCTCCCTTTTGTAACTGATTGAAAACCAAACAAACGTAAAGACAATGATGGTCCAATCAATTTATATATGCAATGGAAAAACATATGAATCAGGTGTGAGTAATTTAAAAACCGAAATGAAGCAGTGGTAAAAAAAATTGATTATGTAGATCACATAATAGTAAACACCAGGATCAAATTTAGAAGAAAAAAATTAGTAAACGGTAGACTGAATGTATTTATATTTAATCTAGAATTTCCTGTAGAATCCTGTATTGACCATGGTATTGGAATTAGAACTTTAGGGTATGCCTTAGTCAAGGTAGTTAGAGAGCACCGTGAACCATGACACAAGTTTTATCATTTGATCAACCTAGCTTAGAGTTGATTACTCACAATAATACAAATGTGGAGTGAAAAAAAATTGAAGTTTTACCCTGTGCATAGTATGAAAACTGAGTTAGGTTACTTCATATGGGCGTATTTTAGAATGAGTTATTGGTCTGAAAACATATAGTTTTATATTTGTTTAGTTTTGAAGTATACATCTTTTCTTCATTGATGAATTTAATGTCAGAAAAACTTCTTCATTCTGCCATCAAATTGCAAAGAAAAACCAAAACAAATGCACATCTTCCATATCTTTGTTTTATACTTGTAATGCATTTGTTACTTCAGTACATAACATAAATTCTTGGTTTATTTTCGTGTTTCATTGATGATAACCATTAGTATTTAAAAATTAACAAAATTTAGCAACAAATCTCTGTGTTGTGAAATGTCTTCATTTTGTTCAAGTTGTTATTGTTTTCCATGTTTGTGTAGATGTATTTGTGTGTGGAAATTTATTGGGTCAAGGCCTAATTGTTTGTGTTATTTAATGTTTGAATTTGTTTACAAGTGAAAGTATATTGAGAGATAGTTTATCTCCTTAAGTTTTTGTCTTCATGATGCCATCTTGGCAAACCCCATACATTGTCTGCCAGGTCTCTTTTGTTATTGTATTTCTAGACTGATATTATTTATTGTTCTAAAGAAGCATGATTGACTTGAATGAAAAAAATTAGTGGTATTGTAAAGCCCACATGGCAGTTTTCAGTTTAACCGTTTGTAAAATAGGTCAAATAAGGATTCTTTCCCATGACCAAAAGACTAGTTGGAACTCTTTTGTCCAGTTTCAAGAGGGAGGTGCTCACTCCTCCGGGCCCCCTGTCGGATCTGGCAAAGAAGAGACCATAATATGTTTATGAGCATGCTCTGTGGATCCATGTTTGACTTGCATTCAAAGCGGGTTTACAGTATTTCTATCCTCAACAAAATAATGTGTTCTGTGCTTCCTTCTCTTATATAATTTATGAATGTTTCTAGGGTTGTGACATGACAGTAATGGGAATCGATTCCTCTACAGTCCTGAAAGAGGATTACTGCATCAAGAAAAGAAGACCTGAGGGAAAGCGAGGATAAAATGTCAATGTGACCAGTTTTTTCCCCCCTTCAGAAAGTCTTGTTTGGTGTGGATTGTTTTCATGTTATTTGTCTCTAGTAAGGCTTAAAGGAAAATTGATGTTTATTGATAGTTAATTTACCATATGCATGCAACATAATCTATCTTGCGGAGGTAGTGATGTCTGGATAAGAATCACTCTCTACTCCAACAGATAAGGATAAGCCCCTTGTTTTGTTGTAGAAGCAAATAAGAAACATACATTGTGATGGCATATGAACTTCCTGAACAGCACAGCATGTGATATGAGAAGAAGATGGACCATTTGTTTAGTTGTTATTGTTACTTGTAAATGTAAAAATTTTTATTTCTTAGACAAAGTTTTACAGACTGATTACTTGTAGTACCACCATAGTGCCACATAAGGAGATCAACGTAAATCATGTATTACTGATGTCTCTAAAGAAGGCATTTACTTATTGTTGTGTTGTGTGTAATAGTTTCCAGTTTATGGATTTATCATAGAATTAAATGTAAGTGCAATAAATGCAATTATACCAAACATTGTCAGGTAACTTTATATGTGCCACAGTACGGTAAAAAATAAATATGATATGGCAGGGTGTAAGTACCATGCACATACCCATATCTGAGAAATCTTTTCTTAAGAATACAACAGGGCTGCAAACCTCAAGTGTATTTCATTGGCAAAACTTATACAACGTTTAAACGGTCTAAAACAGCATTTTGAGTCTCACCAAGTTGCTGATAGTGACCAATTGTGTCATAAATAGATTGTCGACTTGTTATGAATTCTTCTGGTGAGAAGCTCTCTACTTGAAGATAGTGATGAATGTGAGCCTAGGAAAAAAATCATCATCATCATTATTATAATCATTTAAACAGAAATTTATGTAAAATGATTTTGAAAGGGAATTTTAAACTGATGAAAGTAGAATTACCTTCCTTCGGTATAGTCGGTCAAACTGTCCCCCTATATGAGAGAAGAAGCCACTCATTGATGTGGAATTTATCAAGCTTAAATGAGCAGCAGGATGCCCAGCTGGAGCCACATTACACAGGCCAACTTTGATCGCATCTTGGTTCCATGGAATAAATTTCCCTCGGTTTTGAAGTCTTGAAACATTGTAGCGCAGATCAGACAGTGTGACATTGCCACGGCTCAGTAAAGTTGCACCAAGCAGTGTACCAGCTAATGGATCCACTTTTAGAAGTTGGTGGTCTCGAGCCCATGGCTCTACCTGCTTTGCTCTATAAATGAGTAACCAAATTTAAAAATGTAAAAATTGATGAAAGAAATAATATGCAAAGCAAATTAAAATACTTACACAGGTAAAATATGAGTGGAACTGAAACCTAATGGTGCAAGTCCACATGAGAGAAAGTTCAATTTTGGAAAAGGCACCATATTTGTACTTAATTCACTCATGTCAACATTTAAGCTGCCAGGAAATCGTGAACCACTAAAAAGGAAACAGAAAAAGGCAGCATAGTTTGGAGAAATCTAAACTTTGCCATAAAATCAGAACCTTCAGAGTACCTTGTAAAGTTAAGAAGCATGTTTACGACAACACTGTTCATATCTTCATATGGATTGCTGGCAGCAACAACTTTGGCAGACTCAATTGATTCTTTACGGTTTTGTAAGTAGGCACAAATATCTAAAAGAGACTGCAGGAAATAGAAATTAGGAAAACGAGTCAACAAAACCACAAATGATAGCAAAGATAAAAAAAACTTTGTGAACCTTGTTATCAGCTGGCAGGACACAAGTAGCATATTCAAGAAGAATATTTGTAGCTAGGAGAACATTATATGGTGCTGTTACTACATCTTCATGACCAGAAGGATAAACACATGTAACAAATCTAAACAAAGCAAAGCTGCATAAATTAATTTCACACTCCTTTTCTTGACCCAGTCTCATAAACCTTGATTACCTGTCTACATCAGGAAAATAATCATGTAACAATTTCACTGTTGCTGTTCCTAAACCTGACCCCGTTCCTCCTCCCACAGAGAACATGAGTAAGAAGCCATGAAGGTGATCACACCGTTCAACAGCTCTCCTTACAGTTTCAACTATTCTGGACGCATATTCACTGCCATGAGCATGATGCCCCTCAGCCCTATCAAAAAGCAAAAATTGAATAGAGTAAGCATGTGGGTGGGAAATGTATGTTTATTTGCTTGCAGTGTATGAGAGCAAAATTTATCTTTAATAATTTTACCAATTGTTTCCTGAGCCTGGATAGTTTGTTAAGAGCAAAGTTTCATCAAATAATTTTCTTAAGGGTCCTTTGCGAAAGCGTGCAACCACACTGTCTTCCATATCAATCAAAACGGCCTGAAAAGTGTTTGAGTAGATGATAGCATTAAAATTACTCAAAACAAGGAATACAACAGAAAGAAAAAATATACTTACTCTGGCTTTCACCTTGGCACTTTCCAAATCACTGATGGTCTTATAACTTGCCCCACTGACATCATGAGGACTTGAGAAGAAGCTGTGGAAAGCATCATTGTATCTTGAACGCTGTTGTTGAGCAACTGGTTTCGAAGCACTGATACCATGCTCTTGCAAGGCAAGAGGCCAAAAGGCTGAACCAATTTGGTTTCCACACTGCCCAACTTAAAGGAAAAGGGAACAAACCATGATATGAGGCAGAAGCAACACAAAAACTAACAAAATGATATGAGGTATAAAAATATAAACAATGGGAAGACCTACCCTGCACTGTAATGAATTCACTCATGTTTCATTGTCATTTGCAGATATCATCCATAGTTAAAAGAGCAAAAAAATCTACAACTGAAAGATGAATTAAAATACAATTGTTGTTGGGCTAATGCAACATTCTTGTTTCAAAATTAAGGAGACGCGATGCCGGATTCCGGATTCATCAAGTAGTTCTTGTTAGCAGTTGGTTGTTGTTGTTAGTTGTATGAGAAATCTATCGCAGTGACAGAAGTTTTTCATACAAACAGTGCGAGGTGAAGCAGAAAAACACCGATAATCAAATTCGTACGCTTAAGAAAGTATTAACGAAATCAACAGATTTCGGCAGGATCTAGAAAGTGACAGAAACCGCCCAAAATTATGTAAGCAATATATCAACTGTCATCTATAAGTTTATGTGAGCCCCATACTTCAAAGTATAACCTCAACTTATATTTATCCATAACATATATTTTGGTTTGCTGCTTTTGCCTTGACATTTTGTTCCTTTATCTTTTATTTAAATGCTAATTAGAATATTTTTGCTTTGTTTCAGCATGTGGCAGTTTATTACTTCGCCTCTTTTGAGACGGTTTATTGTGATGCCCCTTGCCATAGTTGGCGGAACGATTGGCTATTTAATTGAAAGTTATATTTCTGATAGAAACACACCAGGTTTAAATAAAAGCATTGAAGATATTCGAGTAGGAAGATTGGTAGAAACAGAATTGTCATCTGATCCCACCAATGTGGATAGTTTGAAAGACAAGAAGTTTGTGCCCAAATCAATATTTGAAAAGAATGTATCACCATCTCTTCAATCATCTTAGAGGATATCTGACCTTAAATAATTGTAATGCTTATTTGTTAATTTTTACTAGTGAAATATCTCATAACACAGCAGACTTCTTAATTTCCATTTATCAGTGTATACATGATGTTTGATTCTGGGACAGTCGAAGGACTCTCGCATGTGAAAATGTATGTGCTTCAATAGTTCAATAAAAAATAGAAGAAAAGAACATTGAGTCGTTTAAATTCTTTAAAAAATTGGGAAACAAATAAGAATCAAAAGCTGGTTTGTAAATCAAATAAAAACTCCTTCTCCCAGCAGACGCCTCGGAGACCTCTGGATATACTCCACGCGCACAGGCAGGCTCGAGAAATACCCCACGTCCTAGGGCGGCAAACCCCGGCAGGGCTGCCAACGCAACGGCCTCGCCAAGCGGGCGAGCGAGTGGCCCGCATGCAATTTCATGTGCAGCATCCTTTTTAATTTGTTTCATTTATTTTTCAAAATCAACAAACACACCAGGGCCAGGGGGGGCAACAAAGGCCGAAACTGTGGTGATTATTCGTGGTCCTCGTACACAGCGCACACGGGCCTAGGGCCCACTGCACGTGTAATGCAACTCATGCAGGCGGCTGATTGCGAACGGTGCTCTGTCTCTCTCGCACACACGGGGGCGTCCCTTCGGGGCGCGAGAGAGACAGAGCGGCGGAGCACTGTTCGGAGTGAGCCTGCAGTGTGCACATGTTTGCCGTGTCCTTTGGCGGGTATTGTTTCGGGCCGGGCCTCTCTCGAAACGAGACGAGAGGGAAGCTCCGCGCCGCGCTGCCAGTGCCTTGCAGTGCAGCCACGCCGGCCGGGACGCATCGCGTGGGCGGCGCGAGGCTGAAAAGAATTTATATGAGCTGGGGAAGATGGAAGGTGGAAGATGGCATGCAGCGGCGCACCGCCCCTTCCCTCTGCCCATGGGCTGGGCCGGACCTGTGAAGGCGGGCATGGCGCCACTTCACGCCTCGAAGGCAACGCTCACTGGAGTGCTCGTGGTTTCCTCGTCTGAAGGGAAGTCCTGGAGTTCGATCCAAGGCCTCATTTCGCATTGTGGCGTTTTGCACTACGTACTCTGCGGACGGCAGGCGAAGTCCGAACAGTGCTCTCTTGCACTCACAGGGGCGAGGGAGAGAGAGAGAGAGACAGACAGAGCGACGGCGTACAGTGGCGCGCAGTGCCCGTGATAGGTCGTTGCCGTCGGGTTATTGCCTCGTCCGTCGGCCAGTCTCCCCGACTGCATGGTTGCCCCTGTGGGCCGTCGTCCGCCCCGTGGCATTTCTGGAGCGAAGGGCACCGCGTCGCACCGCACGGCCCTCCGGACGAGGAGTCATCGTCATCGCCGACCTTTGCAGCGGAACGAGTGTGTGGACGCGGCGCGCGGCGCATCGCCGGGGCCTCGCCGCGGCGCCCCGCGGCCGGAGTAGGTCGAGGCGGTCTTGAGTCTCGAGGGGAAGCGGCGTCGTTAATTTACACCCCCATGGGGCCCTGCTCCGCCCCGCCCCAGCCCGGCCGATGTGAGGAGCACCTGTCGGCTGTCCACCACTTCTCCGCAACGAGGCCTTGAGGTGCGCCGCGAGGCTGTACACGTTACTGCGAGGGGCACCGCGGCACCTTTACGAGCGTGGCGCGGCGTGGCGCGGCGTGGCGCGTGGCGACGGCCCCGTCGTAAACCCCCGCGCACGCCCCCGCGCCGGCCCGGCGGAGCGTGGCAGCGTGGCGCTTCTTTAATACGTCTAGCGGCGTCTTGAGCGCAAAACAGCCACTTGAGTGGCGGCGAAGTACCGCCGGCCCGAGGTTTGGCCGCGGCCGCCGTCATCGCCGCCATCATGTTGCTGGCCAGCTAATTGCTTGAATGATGGACCGCACGGCCGGCAGCACGGCGTGAGCGGCTTTCCTTGTCGGCCGCCCACCCCGCCCCACCACGAGCCCCACCCCGCCGCGCTAACGCGGGGCCCGGCCCGGCCCGGAGCCCCACCGCACCAGCAGCCTTCCCGGCGCCGCAGCGCCGCACCACACCACCGGGCCGGGGGCCGGGGCAGCCCGGACGGCCACGGGGAAAGTAATTTCCTCAGGAAGAGTGAAGGGGTCCCCGGGGATCTGTCGGGACAGGCCGGGTCGACTCCCTGGCTTGGCAGCACACAAGCCACACCCACACACGCCTCGCCTCGGCGCCAAGCAGGCGAACGGACGGGCAGACAGGCCGTTGCAGGCTGACAGTCGGACAGACAGGCCGAGGCAGCGCCGGCAAGTTTAAGGTGGCCGTACGCCTGTGAGGTAGGCAACGCCGAAACACCGCTGTCCGCCGGGCGGGTCTGCCTCACAGGCGCTCCCCGGCCGGCGGCCGAGGGGGCCGAGACAGCGGCACCGCGCGGCCGGGCCCCCGCCCCCTCCCCACCAGGTTAGTGCCATTCTGTATTTATTCACACAACTTTATGGGCACGCCCCTCCTTCCCCGGCCTGCCCCCGCCTGCCCCCGCCCCCAGGTCCTATCCATGTTGGTCCCCGTTGGCGTGGTCCCGCCGGTCCCCAGCAGCTCTGCTCGCAATGTTTGCTTAGGACGCCCCCGCCGCCCCGCCCCGCCCGCGTGCCCGTGGCAAGCCCGTGGCAGGCCCGTGGCAGGCCCGTGGCAAGCCCAGCGCGCGGACGTCTGAGGAGAAGAGTCCACGCTGTTTGTTCTGGGCTCATCGTCGTGTGTTCCCCGGGGCCTCGGGCGGCGCGGCGCGGGGGCGGCGGGGGCTGGAGGTCCCAGTGGGGGCGCTGGCCGAGGGCCGAGCAGGGCCAGCAGGAGAGCAGCAGAGCAGCAGGGCTTGGGGCTGGGCACACACAGGCCTCGCCTCGCCGCCCCGCCGGGCTCCTCGTAGCTTCTCATCTCTGGCAAGTTGCATCCGGGGGCTCACGCCGCGAACGCTGCGCGCGCTGGGCTGCCAGGGCTCACCACGACACGGCCCCTTATCCTGTCGGCCAACTTGGAATGAGACTTGATGCTTATTTTCGGAGAGGGACCGGCCCGAGGTTGCGCTGCCGCACCGCTACACGCGTCGCCCCGCCACGCGCCGCTACTCTGCAAAGGCAACGTGCGCTCGCGTTGTTGCAGTGTAGGCGGTCACCGTCGACAGGCCGGACAGGCCGGCCGCGAGCTCCCGCGGCACGCGCCGGGAGGGGAGGGGGAGCGCGGCCCGCTGCGGCCGGCAGCCAATCGCGGAGCGGCCCGCCGCCACCTCGGCCAGGCCTCGGCCGCCACCCTGCAGACAGCGACAGGACCTCCCCGCCAACGGCACACGAGGGTGCGCGCGCGCCGTCGTCGTTCGCCGACTCCACCCGGTCGGCGGTTCGAAACCGCGACCAGCGCGTTCCACTTTTTCTTCGCGCGCGTTGGCGCCGTTGGCCGCAGGGTCCACATTCGCACGTATTTCCGTTCTCCATTTGCCGTTCCTCCCCAGCGCGCACCGCTACCCCTCTGGCCAGGCCGCGCCGGGGGTGGCGGGGGCGGCGGGGCGGGCGGGGCAGGGCCCTGGGGGGCAGTTGCCGGCTCCCCGGGTGAACGGGGGCGGCGAGATCCTAAGGGTTCGCGGGCTGCTGCTTATCCATTCATTGGATAGGGGAGGGAAAAATGTTACACATCGCCGACCTAGCGTCATGATGGCAGGGCCTCGCAGCGCAGCAGCATCGGCCCGCGCGCTAGTGTGTGTGCGTGTATGGTGTATACATCGCGCGCCTCTCCATATTACACCTCTCTGTTCACGTCGCGGTTCGCGGCCCGCAGCTCGTCCATCCCGGCCGCGGTGCCGCGATGCGATGCGATCGACAGGCCGGGCCGCGCCGGGCCGCACGCACACTGCCACAAACAAGGCCCCGGCTGGGTTAGTTGAGCGGCAGCGAAGAGCCGAGAAGTATTTTGAAAAGGAAAGGCCGCCGGCGACCAAGTTTGTCCGGCGGGGTGCGGGGCTCGCCTCGCCGCGGGGCGCAAATCGACTTTCTCGCCGTGCATTCGGAAAACCCTTCGGGCCTTCGCCGCGGGGCCGCGGGCTTGGAGCGGCTTGGGGCGGCTTCGAGGCCGGCCAGGCGAGGCGCTAGGGTCAGGGGGCAGGCCGGGCCGAGGCAGGGCCAGGCATGTTTTTCCCCGTCCCTTTCCCTCCCTCGCTGGAATTGATGTTTCTGGTGGCCATCCAATCGAAATGGTCAATTCTGGAGCGGGTCTCTGGGAGAGCTGGTCGTATCGGAAAGGGGAGTGAATTGGTGGAGGAAGGGACGAGCCAGCCGAGGACCCCGAGGCCCGGAGCGAAGGGGTTGCGCAGCGCGAGCAGCGCGGGCAGCGGGCAAGGCGCACTGCGGAGTGGGGCAGGGGAGGGCCAGGCCAGGCCGGCCGGGCAGCGGGGCGAGGCGAGGCGAGGCGGCCAGGGCGGTGGTGATACTGTCAGAAATTGAGAAAGCAAGGGAACCGAACGGGGACCCTGCCGGTCGAGAGGCGGGGCGGGGCGGGGTCCTCGCGTTGGGACGCGAATCACGAACCGTTTCGGGACGTAATACCGCGATCTCGCGAACGTGGCCGTCCTCCCCCACCCCACCCCGCCCCACCGGGCCCCGCCATCAAAGTCGCCACCCTTGTCCACAGCTGGCGAAGCACGCCGAGCGCGCCGAGCACATGCCCCCCGGCCCACAGTGGGCCGGAAGACCGGCGACGGTCGACAAAACTCGAGACGCGTTTTGAGCTCCAGAGTCGCTAAACAGGACTCGAACCGAACGTGTGACCCCACTAATGGATTCCTCGTTCGGAGAGCAATCCATCGGTGGGGTCACACGTTCGTTAAGTCCCATTTCACGACTCTGGAGCTCAAAACGCGTCCGGGATTGTGACCGCCGGTCTTGGCCCACTGAGCGCCGCTGCCGGCTCCGCAGCGACGACGACGACGAGGTACCGGGGAAGGCGTTCTGCTCCGGCTGCTCGCCAACCGGAAGATGGCGTCTCGCTCCGGGCCTCCGGCTGGCGACTCCAGGCAGCGCGGCAGCGCGGCAGCCGGACGGACGAGCAGCCGCAGCCGAGGCCGCCGCCATGTGGGGCCGCGGGGCGGAGCGCGGAGGCTGGCGGAGGCCGGAGGCAGCGCCGCCGCTGCGCTGCCGGAACCGGAAGCGGGTCCCGGAAGTGGCCGCAAAGCATGCCAGCAGACATTGGCAATACGGCGTGGTCAGGACGCGCGCGGCCAACGCCCCCGGGCCCTCCGGGTCCTTCGGGTCGGCCAAGAATTATTGGTCCGAGTGAGGCGACTGCGCTTGCAGCCCCGCCATCGCCGTCCCCAGCCTGCAGACTGAGAGTCGTTTCTGTTACTCTGTCTCTCGCGCACTCATGGGGCGTCCCGTGTAGGTGCGAGAGAGACAGAGCGACGAAAACGACTCTCAGTCTGCAGACCCGGGGCCGCGTTGCTATTTATTCCGAGTGGGCAAGTCAACCCTGCGCTGCGCCCTGCGCGCTGGCGGGAGGCCGACCACTCCCACAGCCCGGACTGCATGGTTACTTTCAATGTCACCAAGCAGATTTCGGCCGCCGTGCGAAAACGTGTTGCCGGCAATTCAGAAGATTCGGTTTTTCGCTGTCTAGCTCGCGCTGTCAAGGAGAGCCCCGTGAGTCTTCTGAATCGCGCGGCTGCCGGGCGCGGTGTGAGACTCTCGGTGAGACTGACTTGACCGCCACTGGGACAGAAAAGAGAGGGACAAAGAAAGGGGGAGAGGAGAAAGAGGAGGATTAGGCTGGCGGGCATCTTGCCGGAAATATGAAGAAGGGGTTGAAGGAAGATTCAGTCCACAGGGGAACAAATAAGAAAGAGAGAGGAAGAAAAGAATGACTCCTGGCGTGTTGACCCACGCCGGCCACAGATGGCACTCCACCGCCTTGCCGGCCTTGCCCGCGCCTTGCCTTCATCCCCGGCCGGCGTCCCTGGGTCCCTTGGGGACCGCCTCGAGTCCTTCTTCGTCTACCGCCCGCCGCGACCCCCTGTCTTGTCCGAAGGGGTGTCCGCACACACACACACACCCGTGGCATGGATTTGCGATGCTGAATCGCGAATGGCGAAAAAGCAAAGGGGTGGTGGTCATAGTCATATTGCGAAAATAGGGTCGTGTTAAACCTGCAAAGGGCAAAGGGTTATCCGTGTCATTTTTTTTTTCGATTTTTCTGTCCGTAGGGGTCGCTGCGGTCCAAGGCCAGCCAAGGGCCGGGCCATCCCTTTGCAGCGGCCTTTGAGCGAGGCAGCGAGGATGGGCCGAAACGGGGAAACGGCAAGACAAGCCGTTTTCCCTGACTCGCCAAAAAGGGGCCAAAAAGGGACGCGCCCTGTGTCATGGACCGTGTAAACCGTATCGCCCCAACCAATCCCAATCCTTTATCGTTTCCTCATGACTTGGCTCCGGCCAACACACTGCTCGCGGGACGGAGAGCCAAAACACCAAGTCTCACTACAAAAAAGCCCTTACGTTTTATAGAGGCTTCTAACCCCGGAACGGCTAATTTCGGCAGTGCAGTCGCCTCCACCCGGTCGGCCTTTCGCGCCACTTTTTCGAACCAATCAGTGCGCGACCCTGCTCTGCCACCCCTGCCGCTCATTAATATGAATGGGTGCGGAGGATTCGCTGCTTTCGTCCCGTTAGTTTGACTGTATGGCCGGGTTTAACGTCAGCCATCTAGTGCCCCTTCACACACACACACACACACAGTGCGTCAGATGCCAATGCAGCCGAGCTGATACATTACCATCCGGCGCAATAAGAAAGAAGCGCGCTTGCATGGCTAAGCGCCGCGAACGCTGGCGAATGCCCGCCGCGCCAATCCTTTGAACCTTCCCTCTCGCTCGCTCTCGCACGGCCGAGGCCCGCGCCAGGCCTCTCGCGCCGTCTCTCTCGCACTCATGAAGAGCAAGCAACGCAGCGACCAGTGAATAGCCTACCTTACCCGCCGAGTGGATTGGATCCCTCTCTCCCTTTGACCCCCCACTTCCCCCCCCGCTTCCCTCCGCGTGCTCGTATGAATGCATGAAGTCTATGCACCCTCCTTTTCCATCGGCCAGGATGAGCTCGCTGTGTGTGTGTGTGTGTGTGAGCCCCCTCTAGGACTTTTACTCCTCGCCCACAGGACACGATTTTCGGCCCTGGCCGTCCTCCGTCCTCATGCATGCCGAGGCTGAGTCGGACTCGTGGGGGCTTACGTGGCCACAATCGCCTTAGGCCTGCTTCTTTAGCCCTTCCAGAGGATCAAATACCAGCGGGAGCCACTTTTTACTTTCTTCCTCGTCTTCTTCTTCTTCTTCTTCTTCTTCTTCTTCTTCTTCTTCTTCTTCTTCTTCTTCTTGCTACATAAATAATGAGGAGTCAGTGGAACGTGCGTGAGGTCGAGGAGATAAGAAACTACCAACAAACAACAACAACAACAAAAATGTCGGGAATCAAATTTTATTTTGGTGCGATGTGCGAGAAAAGGTCACCTTTTTATATTCATTTCCAATGAATGGAAAACGAAGGGATGGTTTGCAGCGTCACGTGGTGGCCGTCGAGCCAAAGGGCTGCAGGCTGAGCCCTTGCATGGCCAGGGGTGGCGGGGACGTACTTCGGGACGTATACTGGACTCTCTCTCTCTCTCTCTCTCTCTCTCTCTCTCTCTCTCTCTCTCTCTCTGTGTGTGTGTGTGTGTGTAAGATACAGAGCGTACCGGAGCGTACACGCCTCGTCTTGAAGAAGGATGGATGTCTTCATGACAGTTTCGTCAGAAGCGAGCATTATGCGCTTGGTGTGTGTGTGTGTGTTCGCGTAGGTGTGTGTGTGTGTGTGTGTGTGTGTGTGTGTGTGTGAGAGAGCGAGAAGTAATCGATGCTTTTCCCCAGCCGCGTACGGACAGCATGCCGATGTCGATGGAGTCAGTGCGGCAGGAGCAGCGCGCACAGCCTGGCCTGAAACACATGTAGAAGCATCACGTTCACACATTTTCTCCGTCAATCGTCCACAAAAAGAAACCGGCCAAGAAGCGCCAAAAGTGGCGGTCAGACAGGGACGGAAAATCCGATTGCGAGTCCCGAGGCGATGACGTGTGACCTGCACTGCAAGCCGCACACCGCAGTCGGGCTATTCATCGCCTGGATGCAGAGTGCAGCATCAGCACCGCGGTGGGGTCCGTCAGGTCGTCCAGGTCGCCGCACAAAGAGGCGGACAACGCGGTCGCGGCCAGCCGAGCGATGCGGGAGGTCGGCCTGTCTCTCTCGCACCCCTGCGGAGAGCGCCGCGAGTGCGAGAGAGACAGAGCGACGCAGGTCATCCCCCAGCGATTCCATAATCTTGCTGACCTCTGCATCCCGGAAGGAGGGGCGCCGGTCCAGCCCGGTCCAGTTGGGAACGGGTCCAGCGCGCATCCTGCTGCCCCTGCCGGCCTGCTGGACCTGGGGGAGCTGGAGCCTGGGCTGCAGCGCGGCGTTCCCCGACAACATGATGAGGCCGCCTCAAAGAATCGGGTCACCTCTGTTTACATGCTCACTTGACCTCGCCGACTGATCCGCTCCTGACAAAGGGAGAGATTCCCTTCCGCCCGTGCTTCCTGGCCCGACGAGCTGGAGAGAGAGACGGAGAGCGACGAGGGAACTGAGAAGCACCCACCCAAAAACACTGCCTGACGTTTCTCTCTAAAACGCGGTCGACATACCGAACAGTGCTTTCGTCACTCGGTCTCTCACACTCACGCGGCAGCTCGTCAGGGTGCGAGAGAGACAGCCACTCCAGGCCTTGACTCCTGCCATCACGCTGGCTGGCAGCAAGCAGACCGGGCCGGCAAACCCGTCTCGTCCGCGATGCTCTTTTCCTCGCACGGAAGCGAAATGAAGTCTTCAACGAGCAGCGAGGAGAGGAGGGGGCCGCGGCGTGATGGAGATGACGGAGTCTGGCCGTCGTCGTCGTCCTGGCCGGACCCTGCAGGTAATTTCCCGCGCCGAGACCGGCCGGCCGCCCCGTGCGCTGCTGCCCTCTGGCGGCCGGGCCGGCAACCCCCTCCCCTCGCCGGGCGTGCGTGTGTGGGGGTGGGGTGGGGGTGGCCCGCCATCCGTCCAGCGGGACCGACCGACCGCCACTCCGCCGCGCCGCCCGGCCGCCACCATGGTCGTCAACTCACTTTTACTCTCAGGGCGCAGCACCTGTGCCGCATCGCCGTGCCGCCGAACGACGCGCGACCGGATATTAATCAAACGGGCATCGGTTGCCGTTGCGTCGCGGCGCCGCGGTCCGATGGTTCGATCCCCGGCGCCGCCGGCAGATGGGCAAACAAGTGCGGGCGAGGCGCGCGGGCAGCACCTCCGCCTGACACAAAGCCGATGTGACGAATGGGGCTCGGCGACGCGGCCGTCGCTTTGTCTCTCTCGCACCCACACGGAACGCCCCTCGAGAGCGAGAGAGACAGGGCGACGAAAAAGACTCTGCCGGGCGACGCACACGTTGTCGTGCTGCGACGGGACGATGGCGTCATCTGTCGAACGGCAAGTCAGCACCACAGCGCGGCAGCACGGCAGCCAGGGTATTGGAAACGAAACGCACTCCAGCGGCGAGACCGCGCGCACCGCGTCGAGCCAAATCCTCTCCCGGACCAAAATCCCCCACAACAAAGGTGCATCACACCTTCCGCACCAAAACAATGTCTCCCGGAAGGAGGAACACAATCGTGAGAAAAATAGAGAGTTCCATTCCGCGCGCCACCCTAGCCGTCCCGGCCCGGCCCTGCCAAACCCTCATCCCCCTCCCCCTCCCCCCCCTGAGATATCCCTTCCGAAAAATGAGGCCACACTGACTCATCTCGCCTAACCCTTTCCCGGAACAAAAAACGCGCAGCCGATACTAAAACGGAAAAATCGCTTTGTCCCCTTTATCACGAGTCGATGCGTTTTTTTATGTGTTGTGTAGTAAATGATCAATAACATATTATACGGAGCACCCTCAGCCGGTAGAAGGGATGCACTTCCGACATCTGCAGACTGGTTCCGAGAGTCACTCTGTCTCTCTCGCACCCATAGGGGGCGCCCCACGAGTGCGAGAGAGACAGAGCGACGAAAACGACTCTCGGCATCAGTGTGCTGAGAGCTCTTACCTATTAGCTGACACTACACTCTGGGTGTCTGTGTGCGTATGAGGCAAATACCTGCGAGTCGCGATTTTTTTCTCTTTCTCTCTCCGATGTATGATATATTTATAACCCCGTCGCCGTTCTCCGGCTGGCCCGCCGCCCTACAGGTAGGAATGCGCTATATGAAATACTTGCCAGATTTTTCCGCCTGGCCGCCACTTTGCGACATGCCCGCCTCGGGCTCGGTGACGCGGGGCCATGGCGGGGCCACGGAGCCGCGCGAGGACGCCAGACGAGACAAGACCCCACTTCGCCGACGGAGAATTTTTTAATTATCGGAAACGCCGTGACATGACGCGAGCGCACGGCGCGCACGCTGTAAGGGGATACAAATAGACTGCAAGTGACTCTGCTCTGCCCCGCTCCGCCCCCGCATCAAGCAGTCGAGAAGCGCGCACTCACCTTGCCCGCCCCGAAAAAACAGAGTACACCGTCAGGAGACGAGCACGTCAGTGTTTCAGCCATTGAGATAGGCGCACCGTTCAAACCACTGTCCATTTTTTGGACAACAGCATGACTAAGCTATAAAGAAAAGCCAAAATTTTATATGGCTCGCTGTGTTGTGCTCTGTCAATTGAAGGAATATTTTTACGGTGTGGCACCCCAACTGCCGGCGAAAGGGTTCCTCCCGAGCCATCGGCCGGCGGCGCACCGAAAGGAAGAGGCGCGCACGGCAGCGCAGGCAGACCACCGTGAGAAAATGGTAACAAGCGATTACGAGAGCGCGAGCCGCGTCGACCGTTACGTTTTATCGGGGCCGGCATCTACCTGCCGACTGATTCCTCTGTCTCTCTCGCACTCATGGGGCGTCCCGTATAGGTGCGAGAGAGACGGAGCGAATCGGCCTACCTGCCGACGGGACGGACGACGGCAACCCTTGCAACCCTTTCCTGCTTCCGCGTCGCGTGAAAGAAGAAGGGACGGGACCTGCGGACCCCGTCTAATAATCTTCCATGCGTCTTCCCGTTGTTCCGTCTGGATCGCGCGGGGACCTCCAGGGCCTCCAGGACCTCCGCGAGTCCTCGCGGTGAACCTTTGTTCGCCTTGACGGGCTGGCGGGGCTGGCGGGGCTACAGGGCGCGGGGAACCTATGTGGTGGTGCGGCGGAGTAGCCTCTCGCATTGTTACGAAAAGGGCGCCCTCTGCCTGCCTTGGCCGCCTCGGCAGACCTCAGCCTCGGCCTGGCCCTTTGCTTCGCGTCCTCCAGCGAGCGGGCCGCGCCGCGCCGCCAGGTCATGCCGCGCGCCCTTCATGGCGTTCCCCGCGGTTCCGTTGCGCCCCACTGTACACTGACAGTCTGTCTCTCTCGCACCTAGGGTCTCTCTCGCACCTACACGGGACGCCCCCTGAGTGCGAGAGAGACAGGGCGACCCTCGGAATCATTCTGCTGGAGGCGGGCGGTCGGCTCGCGCGGCCCGCTGCTCCTGCTGAAGAAGAAGCAGTGCGTGCGCGCCTTCCGCCCTCATCAGGCGGGATTCGGTTCGGAAAATGGTGCGGGCAGATAACTTTTTTTTTTGGCGGCGTGCTTTATCATGCCGGCGACTCCGTACTCCGTGGCCATGCCGCGGCGTGCCGGACAGCGTCGCGGCGTCGCGGGGGAGGCGGCGCGGCGCGGCCCGGCGAGGGGTGGCGGCCGGCCGAACAAAAACTTTATGGTCTCCGCCATCGCTGCGTCGCGGCGCCGCGCGTATCTGGCGGCGGCCGGCGCCGAGTTGCGTGGCTGTGGCGGCACAGTGGCGCGGTGGTGCGGCCCTGGCTGCCCTCGCCCTGCCCGCCCCGCCGGCCAGTAACAAGGGGATGCGGCGCACCCACGAGTAGCCTGCGTAGCCCTGTAGCCCTCGCCGGCCGACTGGCCCGGCCCAGCCCGGCCTAGCCCGGTCTGCAAGGGGTGAGGCGGCGTGCTGCGTCCGAGACGCCCTCTGAGCGCGCCGCGCCCCGGACGCCGCCGCGGTCGCCGTCGTGGGGTGGCGCCTCGCTCCTCGGCCACGCGCTGCGTCCCGCGTCCGCGTCCGAGGCGCACCGTCAGATAAACTGGGCGCCGCGAGCTCCGCAGCGCTGTTTCCGAACGGCAGTTAAATTCATGCAGATAGGCTGACCGTCCTAAATCACGGGCTGGCAAACACAGGCTGCCCCTCGGGCTGCCCGCCGCAGCGCCTCGCCTCGCCTCGCCGCGCCCGCCTCTTCGCCCGTTAATTCAGAGTCGGCGGTATTTATTATTTAGCTCGTCCAGCCCGAACCCTTCGCGGCCTTACCCCAGCCGGCCGGGAAAAGTGTTCTTCTCCTCATCTCTCTGCAGCCGGTGGTGCCGGGCTGGTGTGTGCCCAGCGCGGGGCCGGGGGGTTGCGGGGGGGGGGGGGGGTGCCGGGGGTCCGCACCGCAAGATGTCCTGCCGAAATGGCCCTCCATTTGCGCTTGAATTTTGTATGGAAGTACATGCGGCCACTGTGGCCCTTCCCTCTCTCTCTTTTCTCTCTGTCTCTTTCGCTTTCTCCTCGCCGTCCGCCCCTCCCCGCTTTCTGTCAACGCCAGCTCCACCTTTCAGATCCGAGTCATCCGCCGCCCCGCCGTGCATGGGGTGAGGCCTGAACGCCCCAACCGCCTGAAGGTCACACGGAGGCTACAAAGCGGCACTGGTGCGCGAGCGAGCGGCGCGGCACGGTCGCCGAAATGCCACCTTGACCATCAAATGTAACAAGCCCGCCGCACCGCGAGCGCCCCAAGGTCGCGGCCCGTTAAAAGTCCCCCTGGCGGGGCACCGCGCCGCACCGCGGGGCCCGTAGAGAAGCGAGGAGCGGAAGGCACGGCGGAAACGGCACATGATTGGCCAGGAGGAGCCTGTGGGGCCCTCGGGCTGGGCTCAAAGAACGCGGCGTTCGATAACGGGAGCATCCTGTACCTGGGATCCTGGGCGGTGCACGCTCGCGTCCTTCAGAGGGGCCGCCCCTAACGCAGCATGCGCACAGTGGACCAGAAGACCGGCGCCGGCGGCCAAAACTGTAGACGCGTTTTGAGCTCCAGACACGGGACCCAAACCAAACGTGTGACCCCACCAATTCGGTTCGAGTCCTGGTTAGCGACTCTGGAGCTCTAAACGCGTCTAGGGTTTTGGCCGCCTGTGCCCGGCTTCTAGTCCACTGCGACCCGCATGGCAGCCCTCGGGAGCCCCCGCCACCCTCGGCCCCACGCGCTGACCGTAAAACGGACGGCCAGGGCTTGACCGCGAAACAGCGGCGGGGAGCGTCTCGTAAATTGTGGCCTGATTAAAGGACAAAGAAAACAACAACAACAAAACGGACGCGGCGTGCTGCTGCGGGCCGCCAGGCCGAGCCAAGGGCAGAACACGCGGACGGTGCAGGCCGGAGTGCCCTCCGCTGCCCTCAAGGCGCGTATCATGTTCCACGCCGTCGTCATCATCGTTTTTTTCCGACGCTTTTTCACGAAAAAAATATGGATATGGAGCGCGCGGTGCGGGTACTCCATGGTCAAGTGGCGGTAGCCGGCCCGTATCGGAGCACCACCACGACGGGCAGCACGACGGGCAGCACGCATGACCACCAATTGGCCGCGACGCTCGTCGCGTCTCATTGTTCATTTTCATTGTTTTTTGTCGCGCAGCCACCCTTGGATTGATTGTGAGCGCGGCGCGGGCAGAGCCAGCAGTCAGAGCCGCCGCGCCGCGGTCGAAGACAACCAGAGCCGCGTATTCAATATCGGGCTGCCTGGGCATTGGGAGCCGCTCCCTGGAGGCCGGCAGGGTGTTTGATGAGGCTGCGAGCAGCGCGGGTCCGGCCCGGCTCCGGCCGTCCCTAGCGCCCCTGGCTGGGCTGGGCCTGGGCCGGCCTGGGTCGGTCGAGTAGAACCAACAATGAGACTGAACAATTGCGTTGGTTGGAGCTCGAGGGGGTGGCCCGGGTCCAGCTGGGGCGGGGCCGGCGGGGCGCGGGGGTTGGGGATAGCGCTGTATTTACATAGGCCGGGATTAATTGGAGAGCCTGGGCCCAGCGGACTGATTCCGCACAGCGTTTCGTCGCTGTCCGCTCTCTCGCACCTACGCGGAAGGCGCCGGGAGTGCGAGGGAGACAGACTGCAGGCGCCTCGCCGGCTGGCTATCTTGCAGCACGGGCCGAGCCATGGCCGAGCCGTGCTCTGTGTGGTCAGTGATTTATTTGTACACGCGAGGGGAGCCCGGCCGGGCGGTGCCGGCGGTGCGGACGGTGGACCGTGGGGATGGCGGGCGGGCACCGCGCACAGTCGTCCCCTGGCTGCCCCTGCAGGGCCCGCAGGAGAAACTTCGCACGGCCTGCTTAGTCCGGCACGGCCAACGGCTCAACTCCACTGAAAAGAGGGGGCGGGGGCAAACTTCCTCACCCCATTCCTCCGAGCCGGCCGAGGCCTGGCCAAAGCCGAACGCGGAGTTTCGATGAGCAGAAGCAGCAGGCCGCCCTCTTGGCCGTCATTAAAACTGTGTTGCCAGATCAGCACTCACCCCCTCCCCCTCCCCTTTCCGACCCCGGAGACTTAACAAGTTTGGGCCCTGGTCACCGAATGTGGCGAGCGAACGCGGAGTTTGATTTGTTCCCGTCGAAGCCGAGGACGGGGTTGACGTGAGCGGAGGGATGTTGACGTGAGGGTGGAAACGAGAGCCGCAACCTGGGTGGACTGCGAGTGTGTGAGTGGCGAGTACTCCGGAGAGAGAGTTGGAAACCGTGCATCCCGGTGTGACAGGGGGTGGGGTGGCGGCCAGTGGCGGCGCGGAGGGGGTGGTCGCCGCGGTCCGTCCAGGGGTGGAGGGGAGGGGGTGGAGAGCTCGCCCGAGTGGCGGTGACCCAGCTAAAAGGACCTCCTCCTCCCTCGCGGGGGTCGGGGAGGAGGGGGTGCGGTAAGTGCAGAGAGATGGACGCGACCCCCACCCCCACTCGTTCCTTCTTCTTCTCCTCACCCTCCGAAAATTGAGCCGGGCCTTGCATCGGCCGGGCGAAGTGACCACCGCGGCCGCTGCCTTTCGCACCAAGCCGAGCCCGCTGAATAAATCAGAAAAAGGAGTTTCGCCGCTGGATCGCATTCTGCGCAAGCGCTCGCCACGCCGAACAGCACAGCTGCCGCCTGCTTGACAAGGTGGCCGACGGCCCGGTGCATAAGCAATCAATTTATAGCCACCGTGAAGCCCATGCATACTTGCATACCGGGTCGCGTGCCCGTCCCGCAGCACCGTCCCGTTTGGGAAGTCCGGTTTGGCCCGCACCTCGCCCTCGCCTCGCACTGCCGGCCCCGCACCAGAATGACCAGCTGCAGGTTGGGGTGGACGACAGCGAGGCGGCGACCACGGCGACGCGCACGCGTCGGGGCGGCTCGAAAAAATGAAGCGAAAATGCCTGCAACAGAGGAGAGAGTCCCGCTAGAGGGAAAATGACATAAAATACACAGTATACTACGCCCAGAAGCGCACCCTATACAGCCGTTTGGTACTGGAATGGGCGACTGTTTCTTGGAATAAGGCAACATTACTTGGGACAAGAAAATGCACCGTACATTTTCTTGTCCCAATACTGTTTTTCTTGTTTCAAGGAAACTTTTTTCCAGACCGCAGGTCATCAAAGCCCGTACAAAGTTGACATATCCTCAGTTTTTCCTACGCCCCTGCATCGAATCCAAAACAGTTTTCCCCGTTTTACGGCGTAAATGGCAACCGCACGGCCGTGTCTTTTTCCAAAGTCCCGCGTGCGGCGTCAAAGTCGCTGGCTGGGCTGTGCATGACACGGCCGCCCCCTTGTTGAGAACTGCCCCGCGCCCCACCGCGCCCCCCTAGAGTGTTGTCCAGGACCCACACTCACCTCAGCCTGGTCCTCTGGACGCCCCACCGCGCCCCGCCCCGCCGCCACCCCGCAGCGCGTCCTGTGTCTCGCTCCTGTCCCTGACAGGCCTGGGGTCCTTGCGGAGGCCGCTCCTTGCCGTGCCCAGGCCCCGTCCAGCGCCGCCACCGAGGCCGCCACCGTGGCCGACGCTGAGCCGCCGCCACACAGTGAGCCAGAAGACCGGTGGGGGCGGCCAAAACTCTAGACGCGTTTCGAGCTCCAGAGTCGCTAAACAGGACTCGAACGGAAGGTGTGACCCCACCAATGGATTGCTCTAGGGGTCACCCAGGGGTCACACGTTGGCTGCCAATTCAGCGACACGAGCTCAAAACGCGTCTAGAGTTTCGGCCGCTGCGGTCTTGGGGCCCACTGTGGCCGAGGCCGCCAGGCAAGCAGTCACACTGCCTCGGTCCGGCCCTTCCACCCTGTCATAAACACGCTAGCCCCGCGGAAACTCGCGTCCCGCGTCCGCAAACGCCCATGGTTCTTTCTCCTTCCGTTCCAAGTTGCCAACGCGCCGCGTCGCGCCAACTCCCCCATTCCCTGCCCGTCCTCCCCCTCCTCCTCCCCCACGCGGCCGCGCTCCCCTCCCACTGCACGGCCTGCACGGCCTGCACGCGGCGGTGGCGATAGCGGCGTAGCGCGGCCACTGGCCGAGCCACCCCATCCGCGCCACGCCGCGCCGGCCCGGGGAGTCCTTGAAAAGAAAATGGCCGCCGTCGCGTGCTGCAATGGCCAGTGTCCGAGCCAAGCGACGCGCAAGGCCCGGCTGAGGGGTGAGTCGGGGAAGAAAAGTAACTGAGTAAGAAAAGCACACCGCTGTGGCCTAGACAGGAGGCATCTCGACAAGCATTTGGCAAGTGATTTCACACTCAGATTTTCATGTTTAGTTGAAACAACTGGTCGAGGAACGACTTTCCACAACACAGCTTTTGAAACGTTGTTCTTTTTCTTCCCCAACTTACCCACCCATTCTTCGACAAACTGGCGGTGCGTTTGTTCGTTTCAAGAAGCTCGTCGTTCGCGTCCAGCAAACAGCCTCCACTTATTTTCCCGGGTCTGGCCGACTAAGCCGCGAAACGGTTCGTCTTCGTGGGAGTTCCTCCCGCCGTACCCACTCTCACCCCGCGTCCGTTACCTCCGAGATGGGCGCGATGGTGGCGCCGGGGCGCGCGGACGTGCGCGTCGTGGGCTGAGTGACGGCCACCGTGTTGTTGCGGGGCCGCTGCGCCGCTGCGACTCCGGATGGCCCGACGCCCACTTCCATTTCCGGCGAAGGTCCCGCAGTCCGCGGAGGAGCACGGCCCCGGCACGGCCAGCGGGGCGTCCTGGAGCCTGCTGGGGGTTGCTGGAGCCAGACCCGTGCGGGTGGAAGGGGTTCATGATGAGAGCGGGCCCCGCCACGCCACGCTGGGCCCGGAGAAGGGCCCAAGGAGCCAAACAGAGGCAGCCACTCTCACGAGGCCAAAATCATCCTCTATCCGGCCCGCGTTTTACTTGATGAAGCCTGCAGGAAGCCTGCGCAACGAGAGGAGGAAAATAGCAGATTAACGCGACGCATTGATTCGAAACAAAAACCACGAAGGTTTCATTTGGCACAGTGGCGTGTTCCTTTTTCGGGCGCGGAAACCATTTTCGTGTTATCATTACAAGTTCCATGTGTGCGTGCCGCCCCGCCCCGCGACATGCTACCCACCCTGGACGATGGGCGCCGAGGCCGGCGTCGAGGCCGCCCGCGCCACCCACCCCCGTTCCCAGCCACTCGGCCGCCCCCGCTCCGCCCCCGCCCCGCCACGCCCCCGGATGATGGATGAAGCAGCAGCCTCACGCCGGCCGGCCCGGCCCCCGCCCGCGCGCACCCCTGTCAAAACAACGCACTGTACATTGGGCGTCTTGTGTCACACAAAAGGCAAAGATTTCGGGGCGCACTGGCGGCGCACTGACTCCGAGCAAGCCGGGATGACACCGCCGGCTGTTTCCAACGACGTCGTGCATGATGGCGGATCGGATACTTACGCGGCGTGTTCGCTTTTTAAAACGACGCGGGTTTGCCGTCATCCTGGCGATGCGTTCGGCCGCACAGAGGGCCAGGCGCCGGCGGAGGCGGTCAAAGCCAAAATCCTGGACGCGTTTTGAGCTTCAGAGTCACTATGGGACTCGAACCGAACGTGTGACCCCACCAATGGATTGCTCTCTGAACGAGGAATCCATTGGTGGGGTCACGCGTTCGGTTCGAGACCTTTTTAGCGACTCTGTGGCTCAAAACGCGTCAAGAGTTTTGGCCGCCTGCGCCGGTCTTCTGGCACACTGTGCCCGCAGGCTGGTTGCTGCACTGCGTGCACGCCGAGCTGGAGGGACTGCGAGGACTCGAGGCATCCCGACGACGGCCGTGCCCGACTGCTCGGCGACCTGGCGGACGACGGAGTGGTGCCGGAAGCCGCGGCACCGCGTCCCCGTCACGCAGGTAGCTGCCCCCTCCCTTACCCCTTTCGGCCAGAACCCCCTCCCCTACACCCCGAACGCACGACGTGCACGTCGCCGGCCCGGTGCGCTCCCCTTCGGGCTTTTGGACCCTTTTTATATATATTCATGCGCGACCCGTCCCTATTTAACCAGTTCCTCTTCCTCGTCCTCGCCGTTGCAACACTCGCGGCTGTTATCGAGTGGGCCCCGCGGCCAGCGCGGTCCGTGCTCCGTCTCTCTCGCACCGCGTGCCCCGTAGGGGAGCAAGAAGGATGCAAACAAGCACTTTCGGAATCAGCCGGCAGCCCGCTGCAGTGCGTCCATGGTGAATCCGCTGCGCTGTTGCGAGGACGACCGGGCTGCCCGTTTTCTACCGATCCGCGAACTTTCCGACAAACGCTGGGTCGCCATCAGGCACACGGCCTGCATGTTTCACGTAACAAGCACTCCCCCGCCTGCGTGGCGGTTTCAGCCAATCTGGCACGCTCAGGTCCCCAGTTCCATACAGTCAATGTAGCGGTGGGTTGGTCAAAAGATGTTGACTTGGCCGTCGCTGCTCGGAGGAAACCGCACCGTGGACGCCCAAGAGCGGGTCCACGGAGTGTAACTTGGACGTCGCACTGTCGCGGCGGAGCGAGACGAAAAGAGCATCGGGTGCACTGGGCGCACCCTCCGCAGGGCTCTCGACTCCTTCCACGCCAAGACCCCGGCTAGCCTCGCGCAGGGCCTGCCCGGCCAGCCCGGCGATATCGCTGATGGGGCAAGTGCATCAGTCGTTGTTACTCCATTAATTTGGCAGTGAAGGAGCCACTCCAGATGTGTATCGAGATTACCGCGCGCACAGCGCCGCGCGACCTGTGCCGAACATTCGGCGGGGGGAGGGCGAGAGGGGGGGGGGATTTTGACGGCCGAACCGCGCGTTCGCCGGTAAAAAAAAGGGGGAATGACGGAGAGAGAGAGAAAAAACGAGAGCAAGAGGTGTCTGTAAAGAGCCTCGCTAAATAAAATAAACCGCCTCTTTTGCGCTTACCCCGTGCTTTCGCCGACCCCCTGCTGACCTGTTCTCCACAACCCGCGAGCGCTCTGCGCTGCGCTCTACTCGCAATAACCCTTTCGGACCTTTTCCTGTCTACAATTCCGCAACAGCCTCCTCTCCCTTCGGTTGCCTTTTTAACCCCTTCTCCCCCCCTCCCCCCGCAACCCGAAGTGCGCGCGCGAGGCCTTTGTTACATCTCTCCGAGAGAAACAGCGAGGCCGAAAAAAATTGCAGACAGTGCAAGGCCGGGCGACGAGCAAGACAAACACACACACACACACACACACACACACACACACACACACACACACACACTCGCGGACGGGGGGGGGGATGGAGGAAGAGGAAGAAATTGGCGATTGTATCTCATTAGTCCCTGAGCCCACCATATGGCGGCTATGCAAAGGGATGCGGTGGATGTGCTGCCGGGCCAGGCTTCAGCTGTCGATACGCGTTCGACGCGTTAACCCTTTGCCTCGCCCCTTGCCCGGCCTGCCCGGCCATCATTCCGAGAGTCGTTTTCGTCGCTCCGTCTCTCTCGCACCTCTACGGGACGCCGCCACATGAGTGCGAGAGCGACAGAGCGACGAAAACGTCTCTCGCACTCGTTCTGCTGCCAGGCCTTCCGGGACCGGCCGTCTCGGACCGGCGCGTTTTACAGTCGGCACCGCGACCAATCGGCGGCGGGGGCCGTCCGTCAGCTCTTGCGATCGAAAATGCCAAAGTGCGTGGATTCTATTATAGAAGTTGTCGCATCTTAAAATCGTTTTCCGCTCATAAGACCACGGGCACTCTCGACCTGAAATTTAGGTACGGAACCCTGGTCATATGACCGTCGCAGGCAACGGCGTAACAGCCAAAAATTTAAAAAGAAGAGGAAGATAAGCTAATGCACACACACGCGCGCGCGCGCGGGCGCGATTTGACCCACCGCCCTTCTCTGATAATGCATCACGAGATAATCATGTCGAAGGCGAGTCAATCAATCAAGCAAACGGGCCATCGATCAGCCCTGCGAGAA